CCGCCAACGGATTTTGATTCTGACGCGCGTCACGCGCGTAAATTTCGCTTCAAACTTTACGCGCGCCAGTTTCGCTCTTGACACGCAAAGCGAGAGTGATTCTCTGCGCGCGTGTGCGTAAACACAACAATCATCACGTGACAGGCTTCGCCGCTAAACTGGATATCGCTCATATTTTTTTCTCCCCTCCGATCTCCGATCTAGCGTTCTGGGCCGGTATCGGCGCGATACCGATGCCGTGGATCGGATCGGGACATCCCTAGTAGTTTTAGCTTTATAGTGACTTGCATCTTATTTTGAGTTTGGTCATCAGTGGCTTCTGTTTATGGGCATACTTATAATGTGATTAAGCTGGAGCTCATGCAAACAGAATACTCTTAGAAAAAAGGGTTCTACTATATATGAAGCATAGGGTTCTTTACTCAACTGCAAAGGACCTTTTATGCAAAAAAATGATGATAATGACAAGAAAGAACCCCTTTGGCACAAAGGTTCTTTATAGGTTATTATTCATTCATATATTACATTATTCTGCAACATTTTGCAGTTGTAATTAAATTATTGTTTATTAAACTGTCAGACTGATCTCATGAAGTAGCGTGTGTATGACACGCCAATTCGTATTTCCATTTAAATAATCGCCTTTCAGCGTGTTTATGAACGCCGTTGACTTAACGTTATATAAATATATGACTTACCTCAGCCCCGTCCCTAAACCTAACCGTCACTGGGGTTAATGGCATTTATGACTGTTCCCTTACTATCCAAGGTAAAAAAAAGATAGGACTTACCTCAACCCCATCCCTAAACTTAACCGTCACTGGGGTTAATGGCATTTATGACTGGAGATTTGACTGCGCGTTCAGACACGCGGAATGACGCGGACGTTAATGGCGTAGACATATACGCATACACGCGGATAGTTCAAAATGCGTAGAGATAACACGCCACCTGACTCGAAAGTGGCGTGTATGTTTACGCAAAAGTCATGATGTCATGTTGAAACTGTTGTAGTAACTTAATATCCCATTTTAATCATGCTGATTTTTGAAGGATAAAAACTGAAATGGCACTCTTCGTGTGATATCGATTAATTTTTGTGATCATTGATGCATTGCATTTTAGGGGTTCCAAATATGTAGCGCTTTAGAACCTTTTAAGGTTCTATATAGAACGTTTTCTTCTAAGAATGCGTTATTGGTAAATACTCATCACAGTGTTAAATAAACAGATATCAGCAGAGAGTAAAAGTAGTGGATTGTGCAGTTAAATAATAAAGCAGGTTCAATCTACAACTGCTGATTGTCGACTACTAATACAGTTAACAAGGAGAATCGCTGACGAGACAACAAGAACGGAAAAAAAAGAGTGACAGAGTGACAGTTTGAAAAATGTCATTAATTTGAAGATTTTTACGTCTTAAAGGATTAGTTCACCCAAAAATGAAATTGAAGTCATTAATTACTTACCCCCATGCTGTACCAACCCGTAAGACCATCATTCATCTTCGGAGCACAAATGAAGATATTTTTGATTAAATTTGAGAGGTGGACCACTGCTACATACGCCCCCTCTGGCGACAAGCGAAACTGCGTGCGCACATACACGCACGTTTGCACGAGCTGTTCATTACCAAAGGAGCATCAGCCGCACACATCTTTTGTTACAGTCATAATGAGGTAATAAAGTTATAAATCTGCAAGTCATTTAAAATATATGAAAGGAAAGGCATTCGATTAAATTACACACTTATGTGTGTGTGAGGGGGAAACGGGGGTAGAAAACTTCGGTTTTTGTTTCCATATATATCCATGTTGAACTCTTTTATGAGCTTACTGTATCCACTTATGATTGTATTATTATGGAAACACGTTCATGAACAATGTAAGTTATTACTTTGTATAGGACCCGTTTGAGCCCTAGAACAGAGCGGAGATCTCTCCATTTGTGGAAAGCGCCCCGATGTCGACTCTCGTCTTATTCCGACGCCTGGCACTAGAAAGAAGTTGTATTTTCTTTGTCTTACGTGGAGTTTGCGTTGGGGTTTGGAATGAACTACAAGTCAGTCTCTTTCTATTTTTGTGGAAAGTTGAGTAAAGTTGTGTCGCTCGAGTTGTCTTCGCTGATACGGAGAATGGTGGCGAATACACACACCTGCCAGTCATAGCCAGGCGAGCGTGAACGCGCATGACGTCACGCCCAGTCCCGAATCCCTCTTATTTATTTCACTGTACAGGATAATAGAGGAAATCGCAGTGATCAGAGAAGGGCTCATTCAGCCCATCAGGCAAATGTTTTAAGGGTTAGAAAAATGGCTATTTTTAACATGAAATGTTGCGCAATGCACCTTTAAAATCAATTACCATCTAACTTAACTGGGCTAGCTAACTTGTTACCAAGTCCAAAGCTTGTGATTGCAATCACTGCAAATCTGGTGTTTGCAAATCTTACTTATCATATCATCATTGTCATGGTTCTGTTTATTAGTTTCACCTCCTTCTGCCTGAATTAGTAGTTTGTTGTCTTGTTCACTCATTATGTTCAGCTGTGCACTCATTATCACGTGTACTTAAGCTCAGTTCTGTTTGATTCATTGTGTCGGGTATCGTCTATGTTATGTTATGTGTGTTTATCGTGCTCTCTGTTTGGATGTACCGCTATGCTTTTGGATTTATTAAAGGGCTGCATTTGGTCTTCATCATCGTGTTTGAGTTTGATCATCTACACAGCATTGCGAAAAATATGTGACGATTGTTTTAATATAGATGAAGCATTGAAGTGTCATTTTTCAAGATTTTAGCTGCTCAAAAGTACAATTAGGCTGCATTTACACTGCAGGTCTTGATGCCCAAATCCGATTTTCACTATACACTGCTGAAACTACCAAATGCAGACGTTCTGACACGGGAAATTAAGCAAAACAGAACGAAATTATATGGATGCAGATGAGGATAAAATTATCCAGTGTTTTCTTTCCACAATATTTCAATAAGTCATCAAAACATTGGTCTCGTACGGCGGAGAAAAAAAATGGAAACAGATTTATTTCTGTAATAACAACCCTGCATTTTAGCCTGCACTCTTCACCCCAAACACTCAAAAGACATGAAACCTCCGCATTGCTCCACTGTGTGTATCCTTTCTTCCATCGCGCCTATAATCGCGCACTTTTTAATGATGTATGACTCGCATTACCGGGGAATATCCGATTTGTCTGCTTGCATGGCACATGCAAACGCACGTATCCGATTCATATCCGATTTATTACCACATATGAATGAGGCCTGAATCTGATCTGAGAAAATCGGAAATCATGCTTAAAGCAGACTGATCTCATGAAGTAGCGTGTGTATGACACGGCAATTCGTATTTCCATTTTTGGCGTGCTATCAAGACGCATAATCGCCTTTCAGCGTGTTTATGAACGGCGTTGACTTAACGTTATATAAATATATGACTTACCTCAACCCCGTCCCTAAACCTAACCGTCACTGGGGTTAATGGCATTTATGACTGTTCCCTTACCATCCTAGGTAAAAAAAGATATGACTTACCTCAACCCCATCCCTAAACTTAACCGTCATTGGGGTTAATGGCATTTATGACTGGAGATTTGACTGCGTGTACAGACACGCGGAATGACGCGGACGTTAATGGCGTAGACATATACGCATACACGTGGATACACGCGGATAGCTCAAAATGCGTAGAGATAACACGCCACCTGACTCGAAAGTGGCGTATATGTTTACGCAAAAGTCATGATGTCATGTTGCTTAACCCTTAAAGACCTAGACCATTTTTGGAGCACCTGCACCGCTTGTTCTTTTCTTTGTTTTTCTAACCCATTATAGCAGTCAGCATCAAGTGCCATATATCATTTTTATCAGGAGAACTTGAAGTTTCAATATATCTCATTTAAATAATCCAATTTTACATTTAAATTGTCTTAGAATGGATGAATTTACCAGATTTAAGAAAAACGGCAGCATATTTGTAGTGATTTTTTTTACTCAACTCAAACAAATCCTCCTGAAGTTTGGATTTTTTCCTTTAGAAAGCTGTACTTGGATATTTTACATTGTATTTTACAATGTAATTTTGACAACATGCAACAATCCCTAGGCAAGTTATAGGTATTTATTACAACATTATTATAGGCGATTTTCAGTGAAAAGCATTGTTTCAGTGAAAACAGTGTTTTTCATACTGAGAATTTAGATGTGTCCAAAAAAGTTAAGGAAGTAACATAAATAGAAACATTGTAGTAGAACAATGAAGCAAAAAAAAAAAACAAACTTATATATAAATAAAACTTATATATATATATAAACACACACACACATACATACATAGCCTATATGAACTACTTTGACTTTACCTCTGTTCAAATTTCTAAAGAAAGATGCTAATTGGTCGTGCAAAAGACCAAGAACTATATTTATTGGTTGAGTAGATGATAGTTTTAACCAATCTGGGGATGGGGTGGGACTAAGCATTAACAGTCATTTATGATTGACTCAGAGGGAAAAAAACGCACGGGTTTCTTTGACGAATCAATGCTGATCAAAAATTGATGACGCAATCACATTCACTACGGAGCTTCTGAATGTCCAAACGCGATTAACCCGATATCACAGAAAAGCCGCGAATCTCCTCTTTATGGGACTTTTTAAAGCATACGGATTGGAGCAGCGGTTCAAAAGTTATTTAACATTTAAGAACAACAGTTATTTTTAGCCGCCGGCGGCTGTATGTAAGCTCAAACGTGATGCGTAACACGAGAATGAACCTCATTGGTTCATTTTTAAATATCTTCATTTGAGTTCTGAAGATCAATGAAAGTCTTACGGGTTTGGAACAACATAACGAACAAGAGTAAATTATAACAGAAATAACACAACATTTTCTGATGAACTATCTTTTTAAGGATTAAGTCTTCAGAATCGGAATATTTTCTTTTTCTTTTACTCTATGCTCTAATTTCATATCTCCTGCAGGTTGGTACAATCGTCTGTACATCAACTTCACTCTGCGTCGCCATATCTTCTTCTTCCTGCTTCAGACGTACTTTCCCGCCACTCTGATGGTCATGCTGTCATGGGTGTCCTTCTGGATCGACCGACGAGCCGTTCCTGCCAGAGTCTCGTTAGGTGAAAACACTGGGGTTGTAAAACTCAACAGTTTTTGTTGATTAAAGGGGTGATGAACTGAGAAATCAAATTTTCCTTGAGCTTTTGACATCTAAGAGGTCATCATATTATAAAAATATCCTGTAAGTTTCAGAACTGAAAACGTCCTTGTTAGTCCAATAAAAGCTTTTATTGACACCAGCCTCTGAAAACGACTCGTTTTTAAAAGTGGGAAACTATGACGTCAAAGGAGTTAAAACACCACCCCCGCAGAAGAAGATCAACGCCTACTTCAACACGGCCGGTTTAGCCCCGCCCACCGATTCGCGCATTACACGCATAGCTAAGTAGCCTAACAACTTACATGCCTACCTCCTCGTGATGGCAAACCGGATCGATCTACCGAGCAATACAGAATATTGTGTGCAGTGCCTGGTTGTGGAAGAAGACAGTCGCTGCATAAGCTTCCTCTGGATTTCAATAGGACTGCATGGATAAACTATATTTTTAATGACGTTCCAGCTGATGAGGGTCGTCTGAAAAAAAAAAACGACCGTTTTTCAGGAAGGCTCACAACTTGGGTACGAAATAGCCTATTACTTATTCATTTTGATGTTTTTGAATGCAAAAACCAAGCGAACGTCATAAATTGACCTCAGACAACAATATAATAAAAGTTAAAAAGCCAGTTCATGACCCCTTTAACATTGTATCTGACAGTTCTAGATACAAATTCTCTCATTTATAATCTTAGAATATTGTGTTACGTTCAAGAATAGCCTATTAATTATTTTGGACAGCCAAATATAACAATGCTAACTACTGAAGGGGATTTGGTTTATTAATTGCTCTGTATTTGAATCAAGGTTGAAAACTATTTAGCATGAGATCCCAGTAAATTAATCAATTACTGCTTTCTGAGACTAAAGATTCATGCAGATGATGTTGAACTTTTCATTTCTGCTCATTAAAGTATTGACGTTGGACAAATGCAAGTTTCATAAATACAAATGAAATGAGTTGCAACTGTCACAGGCATTGTGTGCGTGTGATGCTGACTGATAATGAGCTCTGACGTAGAACCAGGAAGCACTGCACGGATAACACTACTGATGTGGAAGAGATGAGATTGCTGAATAAAGTGGTTTTCTGTGGGGGGTTTTGCACACAAAAAATATTCTCGTCACTTCATAACATTAAGGTTGAACCACTGTAGTCACTTGGACTATATGATGTTTTATAGACCTTATTCAGAGCAGGTATGAAAGTGAGGCTGTGAGGGATAGACGTACCGTGTTTCCAATGGCATCCGCTGTAAAAAGCTGAATAAAGCTCCTAGATAACTTACAATTTTCCACAGCTTACATTGTCAGGCGTTTTTTGTCAACTGAAATTTCTTGGAAAGATATTTTTCCAGTGTTTCATGAGCAGAACAATCCGAAAACACATTAAATAACAGTACAGCCCATTGAAGAGATGCAAGTCTATCCCTCACAGCCTCGCTTTCATTCTCATTAAAAATCAAAGATGGCGCTGCCGTGAATAAGGCGTATAAACAAAGTTCGGGAGGAGCGCGTTCAAATAATTGATCCAATTCACCTTTGGCTAAGCCCCGCCCCCCTTAGTTACTGTTGCTACATCCGTCAAACTTCATCTGCACTCTGCATGGCTTATGCTGTGACAGAAATGTTATCAAACTTTTATAAAGCAGCAAATAAAGTGTCCGATAGAAGTAGGCAAAAGGGGCTGCAATATGCGTTCGAAGGCTGTATTCATGAGGTGAAACGCAAGAAACAAAAAGGCATCCAAAATAGAGGCAAAAGCATAACGTTACCGCTCACAGTCAAAAAATGAACCACTGCATATCCTACTAATGGAGATGGAGGCTGGGACTAACAATCTCAGGAGCAACACTGTTCATGCAAAGCTGGCTAGGTCTCTATTCACTTCTATAATCGTTATTACAAAGCAAACGGACTACACGAGTATAACGTTGTATTTATTAGCAGTGTGTGCTAGCGTATCAACAACCGGTGTGAGAACCGAAATCATAACCTAAAACATTATAAAACGGTCTAACTAGTATAACTTCACACTCACAGTAAGGTTAGAAGTAAAAAAGGTGCTTGTTGATGTTTGAGGGGTGAGGACATCCACACAGTTTAATTCAAAGACGACACTTGTCAGGATTTGACTTCGGTTTTGGGAAGGGAAAAAACGGACACCCCCCTCCAACCTCTCTGGGAAACGCGTCTGTGTTACAAATGCCCGAGGCACAACGTTTAACCATATTTTTGATAAAATTAGGACGGTAATAGCCTGCCGAGACCAAAAACATGAGACGCCTGTGTTGAAAGTCAATGGAGCGCTGTGAAAAAGTGTCCGACCTCTGTGGGGGCTCGTTCTTGGCTGCGCTGTGATTGGTCAATTTACATTCTAGGGCGTGGCTTAGCCAAAGGTGAATTATCACATCATTTCAACCAGCTGTCGACAATCAGTAATCAACGTGTCTATCCAATCAGCTTGAGTTGGAGACCTATATACACACTCGTTTGACTCACCAATGTTCCTCAACAGTTTTTCAGCATCCCTCCACCACCCCGTCTCCTCACACTCGCCTGTTTACTCCTTAACCAGCAATACGGGGGGGAGTACTCTGTGTTCGGGACGCATACCGAGCCCGGAGCCCTCGGTAACACTTTAGAATACGGTTCCTTCGTTAATGAATAACTACACAAGAACTAATGAGTAACACAATATTAACAATCTTATTAACTAACAAGAAACTCTGATTAACGAACTAGTAAGTAGTAGCGCACAGACGAAAGTGGTAGTTCACTATTAAGTAATCAATAATTACTATTTTTTTAATACTTCCCAGAGAACTACTGAAAAAGTTTATTAATAATCTAGTAACTACTATTAACTAAAAGAAACTCTTATTAAACTCTTATTAGAGTTAGTAAGTAATAGCGCACAGATGAAAGTGTTACTAGATACTTCTGTGGGAATTACTAATTATTTGGATTCGTATTATAAAGTGAAGATCATTGGAACTAACTAGTAATTACTCAAGTGTTACTAAAGACATTTTCTAAAAGTTACTGAAGTTCACCAAAAATCTCAAACATTTGCACAAATCATGACTAGATCATGTAGTAACACTTGAGTAGTTACTAGTTAGTTCCAATGATCTTCACTTTATAATACGAATCCAAATAATTAGTAATTCCCACAGAATTAGTAACACTTTCATCTGTGCGCTATTACTTACTAATTCGTTAATAAGAGTTTCTTTTAGTTAATAGTAGTTACTAGATTATTAATAAACTTTTTCAGTAGTTCTCTGGGAAGTATTAAAAAAATAGTAGTTATTGATTACTTAATAGTGAACTACCACTTTCGTCTGTGCGCTATTACTTACTAGTTCGTTAATCAGAGTTTCTTGTTAGTTAATAATAGTTACTAGATTGTTAATATTGTGTTACTCGTTAGTTCTTGTTCATTAACGAAGGAACCGTATTCTAAAGTGTTACCAATCGGACAGCACGCCAAATACGCATTTATTCTATCTGACTTAAGGCGGGCATACACTGTGCGATGTCAGTGCGATTTCAGCAAGGTACCTACTCACACTAAACGAGTAAATCGCATTCGATGCAAAGCCAAAGTTCAGGATTTATGTGCTCACACTGTACGGTCCGATCGTCGAGCTGCGACTTCACTGCTCACACTATACGTGTAATATCTGCCAGACTGATCTCATGAAGTAGCGTGTGTATGCCACGCCAATTCATATTTCCATTTTTGGCGTGCTATCAAGACGCATAATCGCCTTTCAGCGTGTTTATGAACGCCGTTGACTTAACGTTATATAAATATATGACTTACCTCAACCCCGTCCCTAAACCTAACCGTCACTGGGGTTAATGGCATTTATGACTGTTCCCTTACCATCCAAGGTAAAAAAAGATATGACTTACCTCAACCCCATCCCTAAACTTAACCGTCACTGGGGTTAATGGCATTTATGACTGGAGATTTGACTGCGTGTACAATGACGCAGACGTTAATGGCGTAGACAAACACGCGGATAGCTCAAAATGCGTAGATATAACACGCCACCTGACTCGAAAGTGGCGTGTATGTTTACGCAAAATTCATGATGTCATGTTGCATCTGCGATAACCCCCTGGATTGCGCCTATATACGTGTATGTATCCAGGGATATTGTCAAAACAAGCATCTGCTATCAGTATCAAAATGATTTAGCATTTTCAGTTTATGCATTTAATTATTATTGTATTATCATTATTAGGGGAGGCCTATAGGCTAATTTTATTATTAAATTGATCCGCTATTATAATTAATTTGCCACGCAATATTTTCACAGCACATAACCAACGTGCTGTGAGGATAAGAAAATATTAATCTTACTCCTCATTAAAAATTGTCTAAAACATTTAGGTCGATTACAATGAATTATAGACATATAAAAAAACTATTAACAGTCTATAATATGTCCGAACATTGCCATAATTAATCATCAATGAAAATTAAAAACAGGTTTATTTCAAAAACATTGTTTGACGCAAATTAATAAGGTGTTACATCGCAGGTGGCTTGGAAGACGTGGGTAATATTATCCATTTTGCAACACGAACTGGAGGTAAGCAACAGTAATTTGTAGCTAGTTTGAACTACAGAACTTAAAGATCTCCCTCTTTTCGTTTTTATTTAAATTTTATTTTTGCTGCAGATGAAATGGTTAAACTTCTGTTTTCGCGCAGGCGCAGTGAGGGGAAAAAACACTGAGTTTAGGGCAATCGGTTCGTAGCTTTGCTTCAACTGTGCGATATAGTCACGAGGAGCGACCAAAATTTCTGACATGCCAGAAATTCATCCGTGAGAGGTTAATCGCCTCGCGTTTCTCCCTGTACACTGCACGACAAACGACAAAGCTGAAAATCGGTCCGACGCGAAAAAGAGTCGCACGAGTCAGAATTCGGCTGAAAATCGGACGAAAATTGCACAGTGTATGCCCGCCTTTATTTGTTAGCGTGAACGTGTGAATTTAAAGATGTCTTTACTACCTTTCTGGGCCTTGCAAGTGATAATAACGTTGTAGTCTATGGAGGGACAGAAAGCTTTTTGATTTAATCAAAAATATCTTGGTTTGTGTTCCAAAGATGAACGAATGTTTGGAACGACATGAGGGTGAATAATTAATGACAGAAATTTCATTTTTGAGTGAACGATCCCTTAAAATCATAAAACATGCCACAGTGCAGACAAGAAAAAGACACATAATTAATATGCAAAATGGATAGTTGGTGTGTAGATGAAATAGTGACACTATTTGTGGGAGAATTTGACTGTGATATCTTGGTAGGCATTACGACAGTGCTCACCATGTCCACCATCATCACTGGGGTGAACGCCTCCATGCCCAGAGTCTCCTACATCAAAGCCGTGGACATCTACCTGTGGGTCAGCTTCGTCTTCGTCTTTTTATCGGTACTTGAGTATGCTGCCGTAAACTACTTGACCACAGTGCATGATGGGAAGGATCGCAAGTTAAGAGAGAAGGTAAGTGAATTTCAATAATTGTCAGATATTCAGTTTGTCTTCCTGTACTTTCCTCTTGTTGAAAGTTACATGTAACTTTAGGTAATATTAAGTGACCAACCTGTTTGTCTTACTCAAGCCTAAATTAAATAAGCCATATCTTGCACTCTGCAACCATGGTAACGAAAGTGTTTGTGTTTACCCATTTTAGCCTTTACCTCACACAAGGACTATGCTGCTCGATGACGCGTACGGTAAGTCTGATGTCAATGGCCTGGCAGGATATACCCAAGGTCCCGTCTCCTCTGGGGATAAACAGGAACACATGGTGGTGTGCCTGTCTTTGGCAAATGAGGCCACAGCAGCCAAAAAGAAGACCCTCAGAGGCTTCCGTATCATCCAAAACACTCACGCCATTGATGCCTACTCTCGCATGATCTTCCCCGGGGCCTTTATATTCTTCAATCTCATCTATTGGTCTGTGTACTGCTGAGTTGCCTTGAGTTGGAGTGTTGTTGTGGCATATTTTACTGCTAGTATATTAACAAAAGTAAAAGAAAATTGTTTTTTGCCATTGATTGAAAGTAAAAAGACAACATGATATGATCCAGGCCGGATTCAAATCCTGGCATTGATCTTGAGGACATGTGCAAGCAGATATCGGATGTAGGGTACAACAGGGCTAAAGATGCACTGGAGTTAAAGGAGATTACAGAGCCGCTGCACCATACAGTCTCAGCCCGACGATTGCTGAATCCGCCCCATCACTAACCCTATAATCTCCACACTAGCTTCCGGTCTGACGCGGCTGGCTATCCTCTAAACCACTAGATGGTACTACAAATCACCACTGCACTTTCCTACACACCCACAGCATGGTTTCTAGACACCATCACAGTCAGCAAAGCTTAGTCTGCGCTAATGTGATCTAATATTTAATGTGTTGTTTTTATTTATAGATTTATATAGCAAATTGATCATCTTTACAATTGGTAAATGTATTTTAAATTAAGATCGTGCTAATAATGTTTGGTTTTGTCCAAGGTTATTAAATCAACAGTTTTTCAATAACTGAAGAATGTGAGGCAATAGTTCCATTGTTTATGATTTTTAAACAAAACAACCCACTTTTATGACTTATTTTCTTACAAAATGTGTTGCTTCATCAATGTTCAATATTTGTTTTGTTTGTGTGTGTGTGTGTCTGTGTGTTAGCAATCTTACACTATACAGGGACAGGCAGTCATGGCCTAATGGTTAGAGAGTTGGAATTGTAACCCGAAACAGACTGATCTCATGAAATGGCGTATGTATGACACGCCAATTCGTATTTCCATTTTTGGCGTGCTATCAACACGCATAATCGCTTTTCAGCGTGTTTATGAACGCCGTTGACTTAAAATTACATTACTGTATATATAAATATATGACCTACCCCAACCCCGTCCCTAAACCTACCCGTCACTGGGGTTAATACGATTTATGAGTCTTCCCCTACCATCCTAGGAAAAAAATATCGCTCCCCAGATGTAGATCTACATTTTGCTTCATTTCGCTCGGACATTTAATGGCGTAGACGTACACGCATACACACGGATAGCTCAAAATGCGTATAGATAACTCACCACTTGACTTGAAAGTGGCGTGTATGTTTACGTAAAAGTCATGATGTCATGTTGCCCGAAGGGTTCGATTCTCAATACGAGCAGGAAATGACTGAGGTGTCCTTGAGCAAGGAACAGCAAAATGGCAGCCAACTGCTGTGTGTGTGTTCGTTCACTGGCTTCCAGTGTGTGTGTGTTCACTACTCACTGCTCTTAATGTGTGTCCACTAACTTGGATGGGTTAAATTGCGAGTCCCTTCACTATGTTCTTCATAGTCTTAAGGTGTGCCTTTAGCCCCATTGCACCCTACACTCTTGGATGACTAGGATTCTGCTTGCTGATTGGATTTTTTTAGATGATTTTGGTTCTGTGTTCACAAGTGGTATTTTGTCAAAAGTCATTGTTTTACATGTTTCATATCCTCTTGGTGCTTAAATAAATGCTAATGTACTGGACTACAGCTGACACAGTCATCAGAATAGAGAATACACTTACACTCACCTAAAGGATTATTAGGAACACCTGACACCTGAGATGTCAGGAACACCTGACATCTCTTTATACACTATGTGTATAAAGAGAGGAAGTTGAAACAAGGATATTGTGAATGGACAACCTCTGTCTGAGCAATAGTGGAAATATGGATATAATCATGGATTAATCAGAGATGAAACACACCTAGATGCTTGTCTGCTCCTTTAGACACTTTTATAATGCCTCCTTTTTTCAAAGATCAGATTAAAAATAGTTACATGAAATTAGATATCTAGGCCAATCTCACTATTACCAGTAGTTCATTTAATTGCATAATAGCCATGGGAGTAATTCTTTCTGCCTGGTAGCGTGAGGCCCTACAGGCTCAGGGAAGGCTTGTGGGCTTGCCTACCCAACGTCATGGACATAAACTCAGGTGTCGTCAGATAGTCAGTTCTGGATAGATTGACCTCGCTTACTGCAGTTGAAGACTTCAACACATAGTCAAAAACCAAAAGACTACTAAATAATGGAATCCGGATAATAAAATGTATTAAATAAAAAAATAAAGTGTGTCTGAGTTTGGACTTTTGTGTTTTTTCCTGTTTCTGTTTCATGTTTGTAGTCCTTACTTAGTTGTTCATGTTGATTAGTCCCTGAATGTTCCCCGATGCGTCTTGTTCGTCTCATTACCCCTGTGTATATACAGTAGAGCCCTTGTGGTTTGTCAGTTGATGTTTGGTGTTTTATGCATGTACCAGCTATCTGCGCTCTCTGCGTTTCCTTGCTGTTGTTCTGTTTGGATTATTATTAAACTCCTCAGACTGATCTCATGAAGTAGCGTGTGTATGCCACGCCATTTCGTATTTCCATTTTTGGCGTGCTATCAAGACGCATAATCGCCTTTCAGCGTGTTTATGAACGCCGTTGACTTAACGTTATATAAATATATGACTTACCTCAACCCCGTCCCTAAACCTAACCGTCACTGGGGTTAATGGCATTTATGACTGTTCCCTTACCATACTAGGTAAAAAAAAGATATGACTTACCTCGACCCCATCCCTAAACTTAACCGTCACTGGGGTTAATGGCATTTATGACTGGAGATTTGACTGCGTGTACAGACACGCGGAATGACGCGGACGTTAATGGCGTAGACATACACGCATACACGTGGATACACGCGGATAGCTCAAAATGCGTAGAGATAACACGCCACCTGACTCGAAAGTGGCTTGTATGTTTACGCAAAAGTCATGATGTCATGTTGAACTCCTGCACTTAAATTCGCTTCTTTACTCGCTTTGACATAATTCTGTATCATTCAGAATTTCATAAGCACTGGTGACTATAGGATATGACTGCTGAAAACAGTGTTTATTGCATGTGATGTTTTTTAGAGATTTGAATGTTTACATTGAAACTAAATGTTTCAGCATCAGCCCTGGGCAAAGGGACAATCAAAGTGGCAAAATGGAATAGAATTGGACTAATCAATGGAGAAATCGATCAGTTAATCAGTTAGAACAAATGTGTTTGTACAAGTGACACAAATACACATGCAATGCATGTGAATGCTGAAGGAAAATTTTACATTGTACAATTTCATTTAGCATACGATTATATTAAACTTATATATTATAACAAAAAGCCATAAAAACGTCTCGGTTACTATTGTAACCCTCGCTCCCTGAAGTAGGGAATGGAGACATAACGTCGACGTGACGACGGAAGTGTGATCGCATTGAGAGACCAATCTACTTCGAGAGTATTAAAACGAGCCAATGCATATTGGCATGTGATAATTGCATCATTTTTTTTTACACTGAGGAGTTAAGACGTGTTTGGCCGCACAGCGATGGTCAGCAACCGTGGCGATGGGACATTAGCCGCTTTCCAACCGGAGGGATTTTTGCAGTTCCTAGAAACTAACGTTCCTGTAACCCTTTTTTTCTCGTGTTCCGATCGGACTAAATTGGGGATTTTTTAGTTCCTCAGACCGTAGTTCCTATAACTCTTTCAGTACCTAGTCAAGAGCGAGGACTTTTTTAGTTCCCTTTCCCTAGGTCTACGTTGATTGGTTCAACTTATAAGTCACGCCCACTGTCAACACGGAACTTGTAGCGCGTTGTCTGCCATACGCTGTGTGTTTTAGCAAACGCCGCCATTCGTACTCCGTTATTAAGGTCCCGGCAAGGCAGAACAGGAACATTGCAATAGCCTCCTCCATGCTGGTTTGTTGTTGTTGTATGTGGCCACACTACGTCTAGTGATGACGCTATAAAGACCGTCGCCGTGCTTGCGTCACTCACTTACCCCTCCTACCAGTTCCTATGGCCACTTGGCCAGTGCGAACGCAAGCAGCAAAACCGAGTTTGGGGGAGAGTAGTTCTTAGAACTGTTTAGAAGTGGACAGTTCCTATAACTAACTTCCTGTAACTACTTGGTCGGGTTAGCGGCTAATATGTGTCCCATTATTTTTTCAGGGAATGAGGGTTACAATAGTAACCGAGACGTTCCCTTTCAGTCGCTCACATTAGACGTAACGTTGACGTGACAACGTAATTGGGATCCCATGGAAAACGCCACGGTTACTGCCACAACCAGCGCCCTACTCAAGACTCTCAGACCCCCAACTGACTGGGTTGGAAGGCCTGCATAGAGGGAGTTTGAACTTTATAGTTTGAGTTTGAACTGTTCCTTTATAACCCACAGAGTGGAACTCCTGGATAACACTGGGAAAGCATGCCTTTCCAGGGGAGAGGGACACTGCAGAATCCACATCTTGCCCGAAGGGAGATAACATGGAGATACACACATGGACTGGCCAGAAGGGGCTACACCGGACATTGATGGCAGAGTGGACTTTGCCAAGTGAAAGACACGAGCTCACCGCAGGGAGCTGGTCGTGGAAGATGGGATCGCTGCAGGGATCACCACATATAGAACCCAGCCTAGCACAAGTTACACAAGCATATGAGCACTAGGCTGTGTGTGAGACGCTCTGCAGGACTGCCGGAGGGGTCCAGAGAAACTCTACAGGGTTCGCCTAAATGGGGAACTCGACTGGAGCAGAAACGCCTATCACGTATCCGCTCCATGTGGAGGGGAGTGAACCAAAATACATGCAGGTCCCCTACCCTCTTGATTGAAGCCAATGCAACCAGGAGTTCTGTTTTACAAGACAGAATTTTTAACTCCACTGACTGCAGAGGCTCAAAGGGTGGTCTCTGAAGTACCAAAAGGAATAGAGACAAATCCCAAGAGGGTATAGAGACTGGGTGAGGCAAATTTAGTCTCCTCGCCCCCCTCAAGAACCTGACAATCAGGTCGTGCTTTCCCAGTAATTTACCTTAAACTGCATTGTGATGTGCGGCAATAGCGGCAACATTCACTTTGATGGTGGAGGGAGACAGCCTTCACTCCAACCCATCTTGCAGGAAGGAAAGCACGGCTCTGATCGAGTAAGTCCAGGAGTTCTCCTCGTGAGAATAACACATCGCAACAAACAGGTTCCACTTCAAAGCATTGAGGCACCTCATAGAGGAGGCTCTAGCGGAAGTGAAGGTTTCAACTACCGCCGGGGGTAGGTCACCTAGAAACTCCGCATCCTATCCAGGGATTAGACATGGAGTTTTTCCAGAGGTCTGGACATGGGTGCCATAGGGTGCCCCGTCTCAGGTCCTCTAGTGGAGCCTAGACCACCCTGGTGGTTGATGTATGCAACGGTCGCAGTGCTGTCTGAACGGACCAGTACATGCTTGCCTAGTAGCAGCGTTTTGAAGCGGCCCAGCGCAAAATGTACTGCTAACAACTTGAGGCAGTTTGTGTGCCCATGCAGTTGTGCTCATATGAAGCAAGTGGCGTTACCGCAGTTGCAGATGTCATATCCCCCAGGAGCCTCTGGAAAGTTTCAGTGGTGCCGCTGTTCTGCATCTGAGCGTGTTCACGCAGTTCAACGCTGACTGGACGCGGTCAGTGTTGTGAGGAGCGCTGTCATGTTGATCGAGTCCAGGCAGCTCCTTTCCAAGAAAAGAGATCCTCTGCCCGGGGGGGGGGGAGTTTGCTCTTTTCCCAGTTGACCCAAAGCCCTAGGTGGCAGAGGTGACTGAGCACCATGTCCCTGTGTTCGCACAACTGCTCTCATGACTGGTCGAGAATAAGCCAGTCATCGAGGTAGTTGAGAATGCGAACACCACAATGGGAGCAATGGCCACCTCCACGACTTTCGTGAAGACACGGGGCAACAGGGCCAGCCGAAGGGTAAGACTTTGTACTGATATGCCCGACCCTCGAGCACAAAGCGAAAAAACGGTCTGTGTTGAGGGAGAATTGGACATGAAAGTACACATCCATCGGAGCGATCACTGCAAACCAATCTTGAGGACGGATTCACTTGAAAATGCGTATCTGCATAAGCATCTTGAACGGCAGCCTATGAAGGGACCGGTTCAGGACACACAGGTCCAAGATAGGCCGTAATCCACCACTTTTATTGGGTACAATGAAGTACTAGCTGAAGAAGCCGGTCTTCATATCGGCTGGAGGGACCGGCTCGATTGAGTATTTCGCCAGTAGGACTGCAATCTCTGCCTGGGAAGGCCGGGGGACACTGGGCAAACTGAATCACATAGCTGAGATTAATGGTACGGATGAGACAGGCCCAGTGAGATGGGCTGGGAAGTGCTAGCCAGGCTCACAGACACTACAAGCAGGACCAACGCCAAGCCAGACGTACCCAATGAGGAATGCAGGGACCCGACTCGAACGGCATATAGTGGCCTGAGCGGGGTCCTTACACTTACCTGACTCCACCGATCGTCAGGAGATGAGTAAAGGCCAATTTATACTTCTGCGTCGAGGGTACGCCGTAGTGTACGGCGTTGGCTTCGCACGTAGGCGACGCCTTTGTGAGCATTTATACTTCTGCGTTCAGGTCTTGGTTGCTCTGCAGTACTGCTCCGAAACGCTAGTTGGCGGCGGAGGGTTTTAATGTTCCACTGTTTAGATTCCTCGAGTTGCGGCTAGGTTGCTACAAGCCTGAAAGAGAGCGGATCATGTTGGAGTTGGAGCTTATTGAGGTGGAAAAACAGTTAATTTTAGTGAAATTACTAAAACTGAAAGGCAGAAATGAGAGAAGACGTCGGAGGAGATGGTACGTGTGGAAATGCGTGAGAAGGTACTTGCGGAAATGTGTAGGAGGAAATGCGATGCTACCAGCCGACCAATCACCGATCTTGCGGTCCGCGTCATCGCGACGTGTAGTTACATTTTTGAGGAGGTGCGGCGAAGGGTACGCAGTATGGGACACGTCTCTGCGTATGCTACGCCGTACCTACTACGTGCACCCTACGCAGAAGTATAAATTGGACTTAAGACAGCATAGGCGCGGCCTCGAGCACATCAGGCTACCACTGGCGAAGCAAAAGGGGGCAGAGGGTGGCAAGGCATAGCGTTGCATACCGCCAACCTCGCTCTCTTGGGACCCAGAGATAGAGAAGCTGCTTTTGCTGATTTTTTTTTTGCTGCTTTTGAACTGCAGGGCTAACTAAGTAAACTAGGCTAAGTAAAAAATACATTAATGTATAATTATAATTTATTTTATAATTATTAATGAAGCAAATAATATTTATGTATTTATTAATTTGTTTAGTTTTGTAAAGAAATTCACACATGCACTAGGCACAAATTAATACATTTCAAGCATTTAAGAAAAACCTGTTTTTATGGTTTGAGAAAATATGATTTACTGATTTACTACTCGTCAATTGCAATCCCGTAAAAGTCTGAGTGTATTGACTGGATTTCGTATAGGCTATTCCAAATTATCATGATTTCATGAATTATCATTTAAAAAAACATTAAATATTATATATATATATGTGTGTGTGTATATATATATATATATATATATATATATATATATATATATTCCAGAGATAGGCTACAATTTGGAGGAAACTAGAACAATGTTCAGTGACTATACCACTGGATTATGTAAGTGCAATTCAAATAACACGTAATACCACAGCACATTGCATAATATCCAGCCAGCAAATGTCTGTTTCCCCCTGTAAACTGTGAAAGCCCCTCCTGGTGCAACAGCGGATCTGACCTTCACATTAATACAGATTAACCGCACGCAGACTGCATTAGATGGCACAGGACCGTCTTTAAGGGTTCCGGTGGCAGTGCTGGGGATTTGAACTTTTGAACTGCTTCTAGAAGTGTGCATGGCTGCATGTTGAGGTGCGCAACATGCACGCGGATGTCTCATTTCTTCTGTGCGCGTGCTTTCTCTCCACCGGAGCGCTTCAGACCTGCAGCCAAGCCAGGTGAGAGCATTTACACACTCATGCGTTCATCAGTTTAAACCAAACCAGGTGAGAGCACCCATACACTCGTGCGTCCATCGGTTCACTCACGAATTGCTTGTGAGATTGATTGCTTGTTGGTTATTCATGGCAAGAGCGGACGATACGGAGAATGTAGTCGCGCGCTTGAGTGCAGACGGTCGATTTATGCCATAATGCCACTGCATGAGTGAGGATGAATGAGGATGGCATGATTCACTTGGTGTATTGTATTCAATAATTATTTCATGTTCATATTGTCATTCCTGCCATAGATTCGATAGAAAAGTAATATATATATATATATATAAATTCAAAACGAAAAAAGAAAGAAATTAAATTAAAAAAGCTTTGAATTTGATTGTACATTTAAATTTACTTGTCTTAACTTTAGGGTTGATAAAGAAAAGTAAAAAGTAGTGGTTATAAACAAATGTGTGGCATTGTTGATGTGAGCTGCTTTGTAAAGATGATTTCTACTAAAGCATGCGGCAGTTTGGATTATTCTTAAATCGTGCTGAAAAACATGATCACCACAAGTGCTGGTATCATTATTATTGCTAAAAAGGAAATTACAAATAGTAAGACCAGTGATCACTGTACTTATGTGTATTAATATTCAAAATCATGCTTACAACAATTCTTTCACATAATCATGAATGTGTCTGATAAGTTGTTCCTATGTTCTGATATTGAATGATAATGTCACTTCCTGCATTTGTCAGATCCAAACGAGAAACCACCAGAAAAGAGAGAGAAGCTCGTAAACCTGGCAGGTAAAACTACTGTCAAGTTTATCATACTCATACATTTCATTTTCTTCAATAGAAAAAAAAAAAAAAAGAATGAACCATATAATTTGCAAGAATTCTCTGGTTAAAGGCTCCAGTACTGTTGACAAATTAAATGTTACACTGTATGATGTGTTGCAAAAATAGCTGACTTATACAGAAAACTAATTACATGATGCAATTGTCAGGTTTATGTTCAGTTATGGATTTGTATTTCATTGATTTCCTGTGCTCTGTTTCATCCATTGTTAGTTATTTTTCTGTTATTAAGCCTTTTTTCTTTCGATAGTAACCTATGAGTTTCACCGTTCAGTTTTTTGTAAAAGTTTTTAATTGAAGTTTTTGACTTTTGGAATTTATCATAATGTTTTTGTGAATGCTTTAACATGTTTATTTCAGCACCTTACTGATGAGAAGTCCAGACGTTACAAAAGCTCCCTTCACAAAATCAGAACAACTTCTCAAGTTAGATGACCATGACTTCACCATGAGGCCTGGCTTCGGAGGTGAGACAAGAAAACTTTGAGTCCCCAAAATAATGACAGATATGTTGAGTTGAGTTGAGTTTCCAGGTTCATGTAGAAATTATGGGCAGTTGTCCAAAACAACATAAATTTTAACTCTAAAATATATAAATATTAAAGCTTGGTTATTCTACCGAATCTAATTTTATTAAGTGTTACATTTGAGTTTTTATTACAACATACAGTAAATGGATGATTACTTTTTTTTCTTTTTAGATGATGTCTGATTGCTCTAAGCATGATTTTATTGGATTTGTGGTGCATATGGACTAATAAGCAACCTATGGTTTTCATTACTGCATTAATGGCAAATATGAAATACCAAGATCTTAATAAACACCACAAGACTCGGACTTATGACGGATTTGGACTGACATCACAGGCAATCAGCTTTACATAAGCTCATGGTAGATTATGACACTGATTTACTGTGGCTCTGTGCCTCGAGCATCCACTTATCGGCCCAAATCTTCACTAAAGTTCACACAAACTGTAAATACATTATGCTCCGATTAGGGGATTTGAAAATGATGTCCTGAGGTGAAAAAAAAGGACATTTAGGGTTTTTAAGAGTTTCATGCTAGTTTTTTTGTTTGTTCCTTGAGTGCTAAAGACAAACAGAGATTTGCAAGAAATGTCTGATGGTATGGTGAGTCAATATCTGCATTTGAATAGCTTTCCAAGTTAATTAATTTTACATTTCAGCTAAACCCTACTGTTAAGTGAGCTATAACGCAGTAGACAGACAGATCAAGAATACCCTTACAATCACAAAGTCTTTATTTTTGGTTTTGTAGATGATGATTGAATGGTCTATTGAAGAAGTTGTATGTATTGTGGCAAAATTTTATTACATTTTCTGTGAGGGTTTGTTTCATCTAATGTGCGTCAAGATAAACTATGAAAAAATCTTTTGAGTAATGGAACACAAAGCTAGATTTACTTATTGTCAAATGTTCCAATCATAATCTCAATAGATAACAATAAAGTTATCTACAAGTCACAAAGATTCCCACAAAGGGATACCAACCATGGGGGCTCGTCCGGGAACCATGGGGGCTCGTCCGGGAACCATGGGGGCTCGCTCGTGATCTCTTATCATTGATTGTTGAGCTCTCTCCATCCGTGTTAATTACTGAACGTGCTACTCCCGAACTCTGCTAATAAAACATCACATAGTTTGGACACGACTACAAATGTCTGTTACATCCTTTTCCACCAACAAGAACCAGGTGGTGGTTCAGAGCTAGAGCTAGTGCTGGTTCGGAGCTGGTTCGACTGACGAGCTTTCAAAGAACCACTTTGCCTTTCCACAGGCTAGAGAGCCATCACAGAGCCAGATCTTACGTCACTGTATACATCTCATGTTGCCCAGCAACGCTAGCGCAGCACACACAAACACACCAGGCTTGTTCGAGATGGTTCGGCACTGTGAATCTCGAACTGCGAGAGCGATCCAAAAGCAGAAAGAGTCGTATGCTCTCCAAAGACTCCCGCAGCTCCGATCAGTCCACGCCGCTCCGATGCATCTCGAACAAGCCTTCCATCAACAATGCCGGTTGTTGCGTTAGGCTACTATTTATGCTCATGGCTTTGAAAGCCTACATCGGTATGCAAACACGGGGAATCCAGCGCGTTCGCACAAGGCAGTCACAAGTTTCTATTCATCTTGTTGGTCACGGTAACCCCGCCCCCAGCCGCTGACGTAAGCGGTTCTTACTTCTAGACCACCAATGATTTGGTGCTACTTAAGAACCACTTTTACTGGTTCGGAGCTGGTCGAAAAACAAAGAACCGATTTGAAACTATGCTCTGGCTCCGAACCAGCACCAGCTCTTCCTTGGTGGAAAAGGGGTATGTCTCCTCAAGTAGTACCCTAAGGCTGTAGGAGTTGATTGCAGCCCGGATCTCGAGTTACCCACCCCTTGCCTGATGAGTGTACACAGGCACAATAATCTATCTGAACTTTTCGCTCCAAACCTGCTCTCGTAGGGTAGGTGTCCTGCAGAGTTCAGCTCCAGCTCGGCTCAACAGCCTGGAAGTTTCTAGTGTAAGACCTTGATTAGCTGCTTCAGGTGTGTTTAATTGAGTTATTGGTAAGCCACTCCCCTCGAATTTTAGTATCAGTTGAGTATCAGTTGCACATGAACTCTGACATCTTTAGGTTTTTTTCATAAAAATGGTAAAACGATGTGCCTGGGGTACTTGTAACACTAATTCCAGGTATCCTGAGAGGATGGTCATGGGTATTTATGTATTAAATCACCGAACTGTGCGTGTGTTCACCAGAGCGTTTCAAAAAGTGTTATAAGATTTGCGACTGAAGTCTGGTTTATCACTGATTTGGGCGCAGTAACCTGGTTCCCCAAGGATTTAATCCCCAATCCCAATTGTCATATTAAGTTACAATTAAGGTTAGTGAGTCCATGCTAACGTACAAACCTAACGTTAAATAGCTAACTGTTCTCACGTCAGTGTTGGCCAAAACACAAACGAATGTCTACATTTCATTACCTCTCCATATTAAACTGGTTAAATGTAAATTAATGTAATCTTACACTGCATTACATGAACAGTGTTGATCCTAAATGCTGTTTTTTTGCGATCGTGACGACCGTAACTTGAGGCTTCTCCCGCTTGCATTGTGATCTGTAAACCCTCGCTTCCATCTTGTTACCTACCATATTTATTTTAAAATCTTTTATACATATCTCTATCTCCGTGGCATATTTAAGTACCCCTTGAATGCTCCTTGACGAGAGGCGGTCCTGTGTACAAAATTTATCAAAAATATATTGGAACAAGGTTTTCACCCTGCTAGCTACTGTACGACAGTTAGCAACTCTGTTTGTTTGCCCAAGGTCACAACAGTTACTAAGGGGGGCGGGGCTTCCCGATAGCTGAACTCTGCAGGAAGATCGGACACTCCTGATCTAATCTTACAGAAGTGGATAAAAAATGGATAGATTTGATTTTCTGATTTTCAGTCTATGGTTAAAAGATTTGTTCACTTTCAAACAAACTTTTGCTGATAATTTACTCACCCCCATGTCATCCAAGATGTCCATGTCTTTCTTTCTTCAGTCGAGAAGAAATTAAGGTTTTTGATGAAAACATTACAGGATTTTTCTCCATATAATGGACTTCAATGGGAACCAAACGGTTCAAGGTCCAAATGAGAGTTTCAGTGCAGCTTCAAAGGGCTTTAAACGACTCCAGACTATGAATAAGGGTCTTATCAAGAGAAATGATCGCTCATTTAATAAATAAATAAATAAATAACAAAGTTTTATGAGCACAAATGCTTGACTTGCTCTGTTCTGTGAGACCTTTTCAACGTAATTGCGTATTACATGATGTCACGCATTTGTGCTCATAAAACGTTATTATTTATTTATTATATGAGCGATCGTTTCGCATGATAAGACCCTTATTCATCGTCTGGAATCGTTTAAAGCCCTTTGAAGCTACACTGAAACTCTCATTTGGACTTGAACCGTTTGGACCCCATTGAAGTCCATTATATGGAGAAAATCCTGGAATGTTTTCATCAAAAACCTTAATTTCTTTTCGACTGAAGAAAGAAAGACATGGACATCTTGGATGACATGGGGGTAGGGTTGGGTATCGTTTGAATTCCGATTCCAATTCCTTGTTTCGATTCCGGTTCCTAACGATTCTCAATTCCGATTCTTTTAAGAGGCAGGGTCAAAAAAGTTTAGCTAACCTTGCTAACCAACGGTCTTTCGGAAGGAAATAATCCTTTCTGAAGGAAATACTCCTTCTGTCACAAATACTCCTTTTGTCACAAATTTTGCATTTTGCCGAGATTTCGTTATTTTTAGAAAAGTGAAGCCACACTTTGGACCGCCGACGTAAGCTACTCATGTTCGACTCGCGCGGTTATGCCAACACTTCCGGTAGATGCTTCTTCGTTGGTGTTGTTCAGCGGTTTCTTCTTCCGCTCGGCGGACTGTGAATATCAAAACTAGGAATCGAAATTTTAACTTTTGAACGATTCCGGGAAAAACGAAAAGTTGGTCCCGGTTCCAATCAATACTCGATTCTCGATACCCAACCCTACATGGGGGTGAGTAAATTATCAGCAAAAGTTTTTTTTTAAAGTAAACTACTCCTTTAAATGTTGTCATAATACACATTTAACTGTTACCTTGATCTTATGTGCATTGTAAAACAGTTTAAAGCTCATTGGTCTGTGTGCAAATTTTTGTTTGATGTATCATGATTTAGGAAAAATTGTGCTTGATTTCAGGTGCCGCGATACCTGTGGGTGTTGATGTTCAGCTTGAGAGCCTGGACACCATCTCTGAAGTTGATATGGTAGGAGATTAACATGTCTTTATACTGTAAATATGGCTTCCAGCTTTACAGCTCTTGCATCATGGATGATTGAGTGCTATCATGATCTGAACTGAACTGGATAATAGCAAGAGCTCTAATTCAACATTTCCAAGCACCCTAGATGCATTGTCTTTTTTTTTTTCTATGGGCTCTTATGATAGAAATAAGGCTACTGTTCAAACTGTTTTCAATCAGGAATATATGATTGGACTGTGTGTCGCAGGACTTCACCATAACCCTGTACCTGAGACATTACTGGAAGGACGAGCGACTGTCCTTTCCCAGCAACACCAACCAGAGCATGACCTTCGATAGCCGGCTGGTGAAGAAAATTTGGGTACCCGACACATTTTTTGTCCATTCCAAACGATCCTTCATCCACGACACCACCACGGAGAACGTCATGCTCCGAGTGCAACCCGACGGCAAAGTGCTCTACAGCCTGAGGTAACCGTCTCAAATCACACGTGCACACTCAGACACACTGATGATCTTGTGCTACAACAGAGCTCTGACATTTTATCCAGGCTATGCTTTTTCTTTTTGGTATTTAACATTATCCCTCTCAATTTAATCCCGATCAAAGCTCAAGAAACAGATTGCCAGCCATCAGAAGAGCTATGTTACGCCCAGCTTTGCTGTATGAGTCTAAACCTAATCAGTGGGAGAGACTCTGATTTGCTCAAAACAAAAAGATCTCTAGTTTTCCATCAAAGATATAAACCAGGACATTCACTTTACTTGGCATTTCCATATTTGCTATATTCTCATTTTTAATTGACCAAGATCTGTCTTCTCCAGGAGGCTCTGATTCTGGTTCTTGCTTTAGATGAGTGAACGTGTGGATTATAATGTGGGATTAACGCAACCCACATGTCCAGTCAGACTCAAAGCTGGCTCATTGGTGAGCTTTAATCTCAGATCCGTCCCACACCCAGTCTGCTGGACAAAATGACTTTTCTTCTTCCATGAACATCTCAATTTACCATCTATAAGTTAATCTGTTGTGTCCTCCCTCTCGACCGTTTCATCCAGTATCTGTACATTGATCCCAGGCCAGATGGCCGATCCCTAGGGTTTTGCTATTTACAGTGCATTCAGAACATATTCAGACCTTTTGTTTTTTACATTGTATGTTGCCGTACACTAACCATATTTCCAACATAGACGATGACAGATAAAGAAACCTTGAGTCTAAGACACCTTGGTGTCTTCTTCGACCAATCGATGTCTCTGGATGCTCATTCTAGACAGTTGATCAGAAACTGTTTTATCATTTGAGAAATATTGAGGACATTGGTGTGTGTCAGTGGATTTCAAAGACATGCTTAAAACAACTTGACCGACAGATTCTGATTCTAGCCTTTTATTGTGGTACATTGGCAGCTCTAGTTTGTTTTTTGTTGGTGATGCTAAGGGCTGGCTTTCTGAAGACTTCTGATCCATCGACCGGAAGTTGAAGCCGGCCGGGTGCCGCCATCTGGTAGCAGAACTTCACTTGCGTTAGCGTTTCCATTGACTCCCATTCATTTTGGCGTCACTTTGACAGCGAATAACTTTACATCTGAGGCGTTTGAAGACCCTATTTGTCCTTTATTTAAAGTTGGGACACTGTACAAATTGTGAATAAAAACAGAATGCAATGATGTGGAAGTTTCAAATTTCAATATTATATTTAGAATACAACATAGATGACATATCAAATGTTTAAACTGAGAAAATGCATAATTTTAAGGAAAAAATAAGTTGATTTTAAATTTCATGGCATCAACACATCTCAAAAAAGTTGGGACAAGGCCATTTTTACCACTGTGTGGCATCCCCTCTTCTTTTAATAACAGTCTGCAAACGTCTGGGGACTGAGGAGACAAGTTGCTCAAGTTTAGGAATAGGAATGTTGTCCCATTCTTGTCTAATAAAGGCTTCTAGCTGCTCAACTGTCTTAGGTCTTCTTTGTTGCATCTTCCTCTTTATGATGCGCCAAATGTTTTCTATGGGTGAAAGATCTGGACTGCAGGCTGGCCATTTCAGTACCCGGATCCTTCTTCTACGCAGCCATGATGTTGTAATTGATGCAGTATGTGGTTTGGCATTGTCTTGTTGGAAAATACAAGGTCTTCCCTGAAAGAGACGATGTCTGGATGGGAGCATATGTTGTTCTAGAACTTGGATATACCTTTCAGCATTGATGGTGCCTTAGATGTGTAAGCTGCCCATGCCACACGCACTCATGCAACCCCATACCATCAGAGATGCAGGCTTCTGAACTGAGCGCTGATAACAACTTGGGTTGTCCTTGTCCTCTTTAGTGCGGATGACATGGCGTCCCAGTTTTCCAAAAAGAACTTCAAATTTTGATTCGTCTGACCACAGAACAGTTTTCCACTTTGCTAGAGTCCACTTTAAATGAGCCTTGGCCCAGAGAAAACGCCTGCGCTTCTGGTTCCCGTTTAGATATGGCTTCTTTTTTGACCTATAGAGCTTTAGCCGGCAACGGTGAATGGCACGGTGGATTGTGTTCACTGACAATGTTTTCTGGAAGTATTCTTGAGCCCATGTTGTGATTTCCATTACAGTAGCATTCCTGTGTGTGATGCAGTGCCGTCTAAGGGCCCGAAGATCACGGGCATTCAGTATGGTTTTCCGGCCTTGACCCTTACGCACAGAGATTGTTCCAGATTCTCTGAATCTTTGGATGATATTATGCACTGTAGATGATGATAACTTCAAACTCTTTGCAATTTTTCTCTGAGAAACTCTTTTCTGATATTGCTCCACTATTTTTTTGCCTCAGCATTGGGGGAATTGGTGATCCTCTGCCCATCTTGACTTCTGAGAGACACTGCCACTCTGAGAGGCTCTTTTTATACCCAATCATGTTGCCAATTGACCTAATAAGTTGCAAATTGGTCCTCCAGCTGTTCCTTATATGTACATTTAACTTTTCTGGCCTCTTATTGCTACCTGTCCCACTTTTTTTGGAATTTGTAGCTCTCATGAAATCCAAAAGGAGCCAATATTTGGCATGGCAATTCAAAATGTCTCACTTTCAACATTTGATATGTCATTTATATTCTATTGTGAATAAAATATAAGTTTATGAGATTTCTAAATTATTCCATTCTTTTTTTACTCACAATTTGTACAGTGTCCCAACTTTTTTGGAATCGGGTTTGTATTTCTAAAGAAACACGACAATGTATAAAATGCTCCATTATCTTGTAGCTTATGTTATGGCCCCGTAGAAGCAGTTTTAGTGAAAGTAGGCTAACGATTGCGTGACGTCATAACCACGCGACTCTGTCGCACAGTAGAGAGATTACCGTATGGACGAGAGGAGAAGCTCACGGGCAATCGGGGAAACATGGAGGCAAAATGACAAAATAATAAATCAGAATATCTAGCAAAAGTGTCTCCTGCTCCTCGCTCATGGACATCTCCTATTCACACTCTCCGCCTCTACGAATTTCAGGAAGGGAATGATTCAGATTTCTCATGCCACAGCATTAGAAGACAGACGGGTTGCTCACGTCACATCTACGTCGTCAAGCTCTGTTTGAGTCTGCGCGTCAGGAACGGAAGAAAAATTCGCTAAAAACGGGCTTCATTTGTCTCAATGGAGTTCCAATGAGATGGCTCTGTCCACTTCTTATACTGTCTATGGTTCTGATGGGTTGATAATAAAATTAAACCTCCATACTGGTAACATACACAGACAGCATTTATGTAAAGCATAAACTACATACTGTTTCTTTCCTGGAGCTCTAACAGTAGAGCGCTGGTGCTTGCAACGCCAAGGTCATGGGTTCGAGTCCCAGGGAAAGCAAGAACTGATAAGAATGCAAATGTGTACCTTGAAATGCAATGTACTGTTAGTCACTTTGGATAAAAGCGTCTGCCAAATTGCATAAATGTTTTATTCATTTAGTTTTATTTTGATACATGATAACTCCTCAAAATGTAGACTGAGCATTGATTATGTCTGGAGAGAGTCTCTTCTCTTCTCTCTCCTCATGCTATGCTTCAAATGACAGTTATGGACAAAAGTTAATCTCAGTTTTTAACTCATTTTACAAGTTTCTGAAGTAACAGGACTCCTCCCCCAATAAGACATATCAGGATTATAAATGAAATAACATTTTATTTTATTTGCTCATGTATTCATATTGTAAATTTTAAAGGGGATGGTTGATTATGATTTCACTTTTCTAACTTTAGTTAGTGTGTAATGTTGCTGTTTAGTTTGTTATTTTGGAAAGCAATTTGGTTCACCTTGAAAAAGGGATGTAAAGGGCTGTATAAATAAATATTGATTGATTGATTGATTGATTGATTGATTGATATATCTGTGGGGTATTTTTAACTAAAATTTCACATACACACTCTGGGGACATCAAATATTTATTTTACATCTTGTGAAAAGTGCATTATAACACCTCTTTAATAATCTAAATAATTCCATGGTGTTTTTTTTTTTTTTTTTTTTTTTTTTGGATGAATATGAAAATGTTAAGAGTGGGGTAGGCTGCACCGCTGCTAAAATCCTGATGGGGCAATTCCAAATTTCTCAAATAAATAAGATGGTTTCCATACAGTTTTTGTTCTATATACTTCTCTCTCAACAGGGTCACGGTCACAGCGATGTGCAATATGGATCTCAGTCACTTTCCGCTGGACACCCAGACATGTTCGCTGGAGATCGAGAGCTGTGAGTCTAAGCACAACATGATTGATGGAAACCTTTTCATGACTGAATTAAACATTTCACAGAGTAATGTTAAGCAGAAAATGCAGTGTTTATCTATATATATTTGTGTTGTTTTCTGTGCAGATGCTTACACTGATGACGACCTCATGCTGTACTGGAAGAGAGGAAACAAATCTCTGCAGACGGATGAGAAGATCTCTCTTTCCCAGTTCCTCATTCAGGAGTTTCACACCACCACAAAACTAGCTTTCTACAGCAGCACAGGTACTGATGAGTGGACTGATTTTGGCTCCTGGAGCTCCACCATTTTAGATGTCTCTTATCTTGAAGTCTGAGCAGATCAGTTGAATCAGCTGCGTTTGATTAGGGAAACACACAAAATGTGCTGTGTTGGTGGTGCTCCAGGACAGGTTTGTCACATTTTTTAAATAACCATTGATTGATTGGTCTAATCGCGGCCATTTCAATTATTGCCCACCATTAGAAGACACAAGGGGGCGCTGTATCGTACCTACTTCCACCGGTCTCGCTAATATCAGAAATAGCTGAGCAATTACTTGCGTTATGTTCAAATGACATTGCCCTGTTGATTTATCCAACATTTTGAGTCATAGCAGCGCAATTATTCAACAAAGATGGATTTAATTTCGAAGCCGAAAACGATGGCATTAATCTGCTCACTTTTTGTTTTTAAACGGGTCCTATTATGTCCTTTTATGAAGTCTTGATTTAGTTTTTAGGATGTACTAGAGTATGCTTTCACACTTTATTGTTGGAAAAAAACCCTCATTTTTCATGATTACAGCACCTCAGTCTGGGCCGAAGGCATTCTTTAGCTCAGGTTTCGATGAAGCCCCTCCTTCCGAAATACGAAATGTGCTGTGATTGGTTGTGTTGTGATTGGCAGCGCTGTTCGGGAAATGCCTCCTCATAACTGCGAGTTACCCATAACTGGCATCAATTTCAAACCATTTCGAGCCTGATTCAAATGACATTGCCGTTTTGATTTTATTTTGAGTCATAGCAGTGCAATTATTCAACAAAGATGGATTTAATTTCGAAGCCAAAAACGATAGCACTAATCTTCTCACATTTTGGTTTTAAAGGGGTCCTATTATGTCCTTTTATGAAGTCTTGATTTAGTTTTTAGGATGTACTGGAGTATTTGGGGCACTTGGGTGGCCCACTCCTGTTTGCCAGATCTGGGCCACAAGCAGGCCATAGCAATGCCACATGTCAGCCAAGAGCAAAGAAATAAACCACAACTGGACTTTATCTGAGCCACAAAATCTGTGTATATTAAACATGGAGTCATCTCAACCTTAATAAGCCTGTTAACAAACAGAAGGAAAGAAGAGAACGGAAAAAGAGACGAGAAGAACAACTACAACTGACTTTAGACACAGTCTTAGATGAAATCACCTGAAGAGAAAAGAAGACATTAAATCTGTGAAGATCTCAGCAGAGGAGGATTAAACAACTCCACAAACAGCATTACCAGATTCACTTATTACTAACCAGACTGACTTTATTTCTGTCAGACTTCTACAGAAGATTTTATTGAGAATTAACAGAGGTTTAACTCTGTGTTTCATTTGAAGTCACCAAAACATCAGAATCTCTGAAGGAGAAAATCGTAATTGGTATGTTACCATTATGGAGATCAGTGTTTGCTTTAGTTGGGCTCTTGAGCCTCAAATCATTTAATTTAGAATTTGTTCGGCTATTGAACTTCAGTTATAACAGCCAAATGAAGAAAGAGAAAAGGAGATTTGATGATGTTGATTGTGTTATAACATGTTATAAGAGATCAACCAGTCAAACGTTTTGAATTCAAAGTTTCTCGACTGAATGCTCTCGGGTGAAAGCAAATATTGAAATATTTTATGTAATATGCTCACATTTTCCCATTTAGGGACTCCGTAGAGCACCAGATTTGATAATCTGAAAAAGTGTGTATCTGGATCAGGGTGATCTATCCAATTTTGCTTTGAAAAACTGTAATAGTAAAGTAAAGTAATTAGTACCAGAGCTTCTCAGTGACTTTAGTCCCGTCCGAATGCGTATTTATATTTATTCATATAGCTGACGCTTTTACCCAAAGCAATTTACAATTGCTATATATGTCAGAGGTCACACGCCTCTGGAGCAACTAGGGGTTAAGTGTCTTGTTCAGGGACACATTGGTGTCTCACAGTGGATTCGGACCCGGGTCTCTCACACCAAAGGCATGTGTCTTATCCACTGCGGCATCACCACCCCACATCTCAGTAATACGTTAACATTCCATCGTTTCCTGTTTAAAAGTAGTTTTCCGCATTTTTTTCAAGTATGGAAGATCTTGTAGACAAGTCTATGTCAAAGTGTTTTCCACACCATTCAGATGGAAAAGAAGGGAACTTGTTAGAGGAACAAAACTTATTTTAGGGCTACGAAGGTGCCGATTACCAACATAATCCAATCTGGATTTAACTAATAAATCGTTTGACCGGACCTAACTGTTTTATATATATATATATATAGGTTTGTGTTTGCGCATGTGATATCAGGAAGTAATGTAATACACACATGATGACAGGAAGGTGACAGCGGTGTGTCCCACTTCTGCTTGTTCTACTGAGATTTCAACGCGTTCTCATCCTAGGGCGTCATACAGTGACACTTTTGAAATTTCGTCTAAATCCAACGCGCATGGCAAACTTTAGCGTTAATACGACACGCACAGAGCTCTGTTCGGTTATGGTAGGTTTAGGTCTGGCGTAGGGTTAGGGTTAGACCACTAGGTGGCGCCTTCTGGCCCAAATATATCTGCGTCTCATATTGATGCTAAAGGGTGCCGTGAGCGTTGGATGAGGACGAAATGTAAAAAGTGCATGTCACATGTCATAATGGCGCCAGTCCTGATCTGAACTGATCCGTACTAATCCCACTTTAAAACCAGCACTGATCAGCCCTACATTGACAGCTGTTGCTACCCTCCACATTGTCCCATAATGTGAGTCATATTGCGTAATAGCATAATTCCTTTAACAATTCCTGGTTGTTAAAGCTATTTGGAGACTCAATTTGTATGTCCTTGGCAGGGCTTTAACAGTTTAAAGATGGTTAAATAAAATATAAGTATCTAGAGAGAATATGCAGGAAATGCACAGGGTGTGCAATATCTCACTAAACAGTATTATTTTATCAAACCTTGCTATAAATCTAGTCCATGAGGTGGATTATGCTTATCTGTATGATTATTACATTCCCAAAGTAAGTCAGTTCATCTATTACTGATTCAGATGATTCTAGTGTGATGGTCCTGTTAGTAAAGAGGGTACTAGACAGTAACGCTAAACATATCTCTACAGGACATTGGTCCTCAAGGAGCGGATTTGGACACCCTTAACTTATATATCACTTAGAATTGCTCTCAAAAGAGACTTTTTGGTTTAAAGTTTAAAAGTGAGAAACAAAAGGGAACTCTTTGTCAGAACGCCATATTGGCTTCACTGTGGTAAATAGTGGCAAAACATTAAATCAAATCAAACATCACCTTTACCTGCTGTCACCTGCACGTATACGGGCAACCTAAATTTACTACACTATATTACTATTAAATCCTAATCGAGTCATATATCGTTGGAAAGGTCTAAGACTGCAAAATAGATATTTGACTGCTGTTTTTTTGGAATTCTGACCTTTGTCACAAAAAGTTGACGCACACACCTTTAATAATTAAAACTTTGGGTTTTCATGCTAAAAGTTCATTTTAAAACTTAAAATCTAGTATTTTTCAATAAAAAATCATAATATGATATTATCCTCTAAAAATGTTCATATATTATCCTCTAAAATATAATAGTATCTTTTTTTATCACATCACATATTTTAGTAGTTATCATAAATTAGGTATCATTCGAAAGCTTACAAACTCGGAATTCATCCTGTGAAAACCGTTTTATAATTGAACGTTGCGTTACCATAGAAACGGTTCTCTAAATTATTTTATCAGGCTCCTCCCCTTTTGGGAAACATTATATTTCATAATTTATGATCAAAATCTTTTCTAATCTTGACAAAACACATATTGTCAGAGAGGTCTGTGTCTCGAGGTTCCAAATTCTGTGACAGAATTGATATTTGGACAGAAATGTGTTATTTTGTTAAGGCAGAATGTATAAACTAAATTCAATGGAATTCAATGGCACCCGGTGGCAATTTTTGGTACTACGCCCAAACAAAATCTCATGGGAACTTCAATTTTTGTGATATCAACTTCAAATTTGGAAGATTGATTTTATAGTAATTTTAGAGTAAAAAAAAAATTCTAAAATATATATTTGATATAAAATAAAAATATATAGTCCAGTATATTTGATTTACTGTTAATTAACTTTTATCGGAAGTACTCCATTATCACGGGAGGGCGTGTTTGATTGGGGTTAGATCTAAACTCGGTGGGAATAAGATTGAAAAGCCCTGCTGTACACCATGATTGTTGGACTAAAACTGCACACTATTCCTCTTCCATCTCCTCCTGCAGGTTGGTACAACCGTCTGTACATCAACTTCACTCTGCGTCGCCATATCTTCTTCTTCCTGCTTCAGACGTACTTTCCCGCCACTCTGATGGTCATGCTGTCATGGGTGTCCTTCTGGATCGACCGACGAGCCGTTCCTGCCAGGGTTCCTCTCGGTGAGATGTCTTCATTAATAGTGTAACTGCAAACCAAGTCACACACACCCGCACCAGTTACACATTTTGCAGCCTGCACTTTTGAATTGACCGATCTCTCTGTAGGCATTACGACGGTGCTCACCATGTCCACCATCATCACTGGGGTGAACGCCTCCATGCCCAGAGTGTCCTACATCAAAGCCGTGGACATTTACCTGTGGGTCAGCTTCGTCTTCGTCTTCCTCTCGGTGATCGAGTACGCCGCTGTCAATTACCTATCCACGCTGCAGGAGCGCAAAATACAAAGCAGCAGGGTAAGCTAAGCTAAGACAGTTTGGTTATCAGCTATTAAAGCAGCATTATGCAGTTTTTTTTTTTTACCTTAAAGGGTTAGTTCAGCCAAAAATGAAAATTCTGTCAGTATTTACTCACCCTCATGTTGTTCCAACCCCGTAAGACCTTCATTCACCTTCGCAACACAAATTAAGATATTTAAGATATTAAGATCACTCCTGCATACTAGTCCATAGGCTTCTTGAGGGAATGAGAATTGCTGGCATCGAAAAGTCATTAAAGACATCGTTAAAATAGTCAGAGTGACTACAGGGGCTCAATCTTAACTTTATCAAGTGACGAGAACACTTTTTGTGCGCAAAAACAAACAAAAATAACGACTTTATTTCGACTATTCACTTCCTTCTCCATGGGCCTGTAGTCAGTTAACGTAGTGTGATTGCGTAAAGCTACGTCACACGTAGGCTCACTATTGGCCGACGCTGGTCACGTATGTGATGCGTGTGACGTACAATAACAGAAGCTTACGCTTTTAAACTAGTAACCTGACTCGTGCAGAGGGAGAAATAAACGAATAGTTGAAATAAAGTCGTTATTTTTGTTGTTTTTTTGCGCACAAAAAGTGTTCTCGTCGTTTGATAAACTTAAGATTGAGCCCTTGTAGTCACTTGGACTATTTTAACGATGTCTTTAATGACTTTTCAAGGACAGCAAGTCATTCCCTCAAGAAGCCTATGGACTAGTATGCAGGAGTGATCTTAATATCTTAAATATCTTAATTTGTGTTCAGAAGATGGACGAAGGTCTTACGGGGTTGGAACAACATGAGGGTGAGTAAATACTGACAGAATTTTCATTTTTGGGTGAACTAACCCTTTAACTGAATGGCTTTGGAGTTATTGCAATGGTTATATGACTATTTTGGGGTTGAATGTTGGGCGTCTCGCCCCCTCTGTTGCCTGTGAGCGGAAAAAAACACACTTGCAACTTTGAATTGGTGGGTCGCCGGCTTCAGCACCAGGAAGTGTTGCGTGATATCAGGTCTCGCGATGTAACGAATTGCTTTACGGCAAGAAAGATCTGCTAAAATGAGCATCAAACAGAAAAAACCCGGCGCCGTATACATGCGGTGTTCGAGGCGTATACAGACTGCCGACAGTTCAACAGGGGGCAGCTCTTAAAGGGGCCACACCTTATTTCCGTTCGTTACAGCTTCCATCCTACTGAATAGGTACCGGTATACAGGGGGAGGGGATCAGGCCGTGAGTGCAGAGACATCTCTGCGTGAGTGCTATTTACGACAGTACAAGTACTCCACAGCGACTCTAGGGGTCACAGTTTGACGAAAACGGAAATCCTGCATAGTGCTGCTTTAGTGTACTTGTTCTACAGTTAATATAGCATTTTAGCAAGGCTAATCATTAATATTTATGGACAAACATATAGGGACCTGACCTGTCTTGTTAGCTATTAGAGATGTGTGCATCATGTCTAACATCAGGAAGATAATGCACCCGCCACCCACCTGAACCTATGGTTAGAAATTATTGTAATTCTCAGTGTCCGTGTTAATCAACATTTATTTAAAGTAAAACTTTACATTTCCTTAATAGCCTAATCATTGGCTTTACTTTCTTCCAACTTAAATAGTCACTGTTTCTGTCACTGCAACTTCCCGAACACATTGAGGACATTAAATACGTTCAGCCCGAGAAAAGACTGGATATGACCTTTATTGGTTTATTTTCATATAGAGCGTTTCACAGCCATTATATGTCACATACCCAGCCCTTGATTCATCCCAGTTCATTACTTCACTAAAACCCTCTCAAACTGTATTTTTCTGTCTTTCTTTTGTTTTGTTTTTAATTCTCCTTTTTAAAATTTTTCTCAGATGTTTGTTGCCTCCATAGCTTAATGAGTCTGCAAATTAGTGTCTGACAAAAAATTCATCATTCTTCGGCATGGTCATCATCCCAACATCTGTTCCTCTACATTTCCTTCAATTCACAGCAATGCATTTATACGTTTGCTCTCATATTTCTCAATCTATCTGTTTATCCACCCATCTATCCATCCCTCCCTCCCTCCCTCACCCATTCATCTGTTCCTCCATCCATCTCTCCAACCCTCCATTCATCCGTCCGTCCGTCCATCCATCAATGCCTCTGTCCATCAGTCAATGCCTCCATCCATCCGTCAATGCCTCCATCCATCCATCCATCCGTCAATGCCTCCATCCATCCATCCGTCAATGCCTCCATCCATCCATCCATCCATCCAGCTATCATCTGTCAATGCCTGCATCCACCCATCTATCATCTGTCAATGCCTCCATCCATCCACCCATCCATCTGTCAATGCACCCATCCATCCATCCATCCATTCATCCATCCGTCAATGCCTCCATCCATCCATCCATCCATCCATCTATCATCTGTCAATGCCTCCATCCATCCACCCATCCACCCGTCAATGCCTCCATTCATCCATCCATCCATCCATCCGTCAATGCCTCCATCCACCCATCTATCATCTGTCAATGCCTCCATCCATCCACCCATCCATCCGTCAATGCACCCATCCATCCATCCATCCATCCATCCGTCAATGCCTCCATCCACCCATCTATCATCTGTCAATGCCTCCATCCATCCACCCATCCATCCGTCAATGCACCCATCCATCCATCCGTAAATGCCTCCATTCATCCATCCATCCATCCATCCATCCGTCCGTCCGTCAATGCCTCCATCCATCCATCCATCCATCTGTCAATGCCTCCATCCATCCATCTATCATCTGTCAATGTCTCCATCCATCCACCCACCCATCCGTCAATGCACCCATCCATCCATCCACCCGTCAATGCCTCCATTCATCCATCCATCCATCCATCCGTCAATGCCTCCATCCATCCGTCCGTCCGTCAATGCCTCCATCCATCCGTCCGTCCGTCAATGCCTCCATCCATCCATCCATCTGTCAATGCCTCCATCCATCCATCTATCATCTGTCAATGCCTCCATCCATCCATCTATCATCTGTCAATGTCTCTATCCATCCACCCACCCATCCGTCAATGCACCCATCCATCCACTTGTCAATGCCTCCATTCATCCATCCATCTGTCCATCCATCCATCCGTCAATGCCTCCATCCATCTGTCAATGCCTCCATCCATCATCTATGATCTGTCAATGCCTCCATCCATCCATCCATCTATCCATCCATCTATCATCTGTCAATGCCTCCATCCATCAACCCATTCATCCATCAATGCACCCATCCATCCATCCATCCATCCATCGATCCATCAATGTACCCATCCATCCATCCGTCAATGCCTCCATCAAAATCAATTTCTCCATCCTTTCAATTCAATTCACATTTATTTGTAAAGCGCTTTTCACAATACATATCATTCCAAAGCAGCTTTCCATAAAAATGTATGCATCCACATTACAATGCAGTGATCTGATTTTAGAGGTAAATGTATAATGTATTCTGAGATGCTAGCAAATTTTAGCCAGTAATGTCTACAGTAGATCTAGCCCAGCTCATCTGTTCTTTCTCACATAATTTCATCATTCTTCTCCATGCCCACAATTTACTCAAAACCCCACTTACACACATCCTTTCATTCATAGGAGCCGATTTCTGTTTCTGCCAGTGGGTGCCCAATACCATACACTGGGCCACATTGGTATTCGAGTCCGACTCGAGACCGATACCAAAGAGGGTCGAGTCCGAGTCGAGACCGAGACTAAATAGAGTCGAGTCGAGACCAGAGAGGTTGGCTCGGAAACCAGATTTAAAGATATCTTCAATAAAATTGGTAACAATAAAATTGGCACCATACTCACAGTTAACCAAATATACCATGGAATCATGTACACTGTAATGGTAAAAAGGCCACATAGTGGTGTAAAGGTAATTTAATTACAATTATGACTTAAAATTATTACAATCAGTAAGTGCTCTCTAACATAACTTTACTGCACACAAATTCTGTGTGGCTCTAATATGCAAACTGAATTATGGATGAGAAGGCAGACATTTTCAATACGAGCTAGAGGCTCCACATCACATCTGACCTGGGTCCTGCTGCATTTGCGTGCCGCGAACGTTATAGTCTCAAGTCATGCGCAGTTGAAAGTCAGAAATTATTGGACGTTTCAATCAAACAATTTAAAGAAATATTAACATACAGTAATAATCATGACATGTTTTGAATGGGACTCGAGTGGACTCGGGAATAAGTCTGAGTCCTAATATGTTCGAGTACGAGTCACTTCCGAGACCATTAAAATATGGACTCGAGACCGAGACCGAGTCTTGAGTAGCTACACAACACTGCTTCAATCCCAGCAGCGACGCCTACCCGGCCAGCTAGAGCAGAAGCTACACTTGCCCACAAACTAAGCCGCCATTCATAGCAATACGGCTCCTGTTTACAGCTCTTCAGTCCAGTGCCTCAGCAGTTCTGCCTCAGATGGGCCAATATGGACTCCTTCAACACCCATTTCTATTTTCAACCAGTCTATCCTTTCCCCCTCCCTCCCCCAACACCCTTGGATGGTAGCAGCAAAATACGATAAAAGAATTTGATAAGAAAAACTCACTTTCACCTGATCAATGTGACTTTAAATTCCGAGTATGTCCTGTAATACAACATGCAGTATGTGCTTGTGTGATCCAGCATTTGCCGTGTTCATGTGGAATGACCCATCCTGGTCAGATGATGATGAGCAGCAGCTACAGTGACATGGACATGATGACCACGGGAAACTACGGCATGTCGGAGGTGAACATGGACAAACAGGAGCAGTTCCTGGTTCAACTGGTCCTGAATAATGAGCAGGGAACTCAAAGACCTGATGTCACCTCAAAAAGCAGTTTATTAATAGACACCCATGCCATAGACAAATACTCGCGGGTCATCTTCCCCGGAGCGTACTCGCTCTTCAACATCATATACTGGTCCATCTACCTGCAGTGACGGCTGCTGCTATACCAGTCTCGGGAATGCAAATTATCAATCAAAAAAGTGTGATCTTTTTAATTATGTTGCAACATGTAATACATTTTTGCCTATATGTGGGCAGTTGCCATTACCTGTCTTTAGAAGAAAAAAGTTATTTTCTTATATATATATATATATATATATATATATATATATATATCATTGTTAGGATGAATAGCACAAAATATAGATTTTTTTTTTTCAATAAATATAAAATTTCTTATATAGATAGATCTGTTTAGCAATTCCAAGTAAATCTCGGGAATTGTACCTCACCATGAACTGGAAAATACAGAAATGTATCAAATTGTTCAACATAGATGAGGGGGTTACATGGGTAACAAGGTACTATGAACACGCCACTCATCCTTCGATAAGGAAATAAGGTTTACATATTTGTATTGTTAACGTATGTGTCATGATCATGTGTCATCTAGCTGAATACCTGTACACTGTGTTACATTATAATGACTGGGCATGTAATTGCTGAGCGCATATTATTTATTATCTACATACTTGAACTATTTATTTGTAAACGTAAAAAAGATTATTAAAGGGACAATGTGTACTTTTTTTTTTAGGTATTTTATTGTCTAAAATCATTTTATTCATAAATATGTCCTCAATGGTGTACAAATACCTCTGCCAGTTATCTGGCTTATCCTCAGTGGTGGAGGAAGTACTGAATCTCAGTACTTAAGTAAAAGTACAAATAACCAGATAAATATTTACTTTAGTAAAAGTAGAAGTAACACAATGACAACCATACTTAAGTAAAAAGTACCTGATTTTAAATGTACTTTAAGTATTAAAAGTAAAAGTACTTGCATAACAATTGATTCTCTTAATGACTATTTTCTAATGATTTATAAAACATTTAATTCTAACTCATTCAACCTAATACTCCTATAATGATGTTCAATAATGATGGAAAAAAATGTTGTCACCATTTCTGAAACAAGCTTGCAATTAGGCAATATACACATCATGCTTATCCTTCCTATATGTTAATAACTATGTTTGGCAGTAAACGCGATTTATTTATGGTGTAATTCTGAACCTCTTGGCTTGCCATAATCCTAACCAAACGTATATTACACACGGTGTGTTTCCTATGCACGTAAAAACTAATTTTCGCATATAAATTGCACGATAAACACACTGCGTCCGAGACGCATTTAGTTGATGTATCTTTGGCAACCAAACGTCACTGGTGAGACAAACGTGCAACAAACGGACGGTCAGATTGCGTTTTGGCAGGGGAAAAACTGATCAGAAAATGTAATGAAAATGTAACGAAGTAAAAGTAAAAAGTATGCACTATTTATTCAGTAAAGATACTTGAAAAATGTACTTAAGTAAAGTAACAAAGTATTTGTAACGTTACTTCGTTACATTCCACCACTGCTTATCCTCATAAACAATGACTTTATTATCTTTATATACATGGGACGGGTAAGTCCACGGAGGTGTAGTTCCGCCATCTTGAAAAACTATAATAGCAGAGAGGGACAAAAAGTCCTTGGCCAACACATTTCCACAACGTGTTTTCGTTCAGAGCCGGCGTGACGTGACTGAAGCAGAGGAGCAGAGCGGTGAGAGGCGCTTCACGCCCCGGCTAGTTTAAAAGTCAGTAATTCATACTGTAAGTTAACATTCGTTTGTTCGTTGTGTCAAGTTGCAGTTTGTTTGAAATGAAAACAAATGTTTGAAACCTGTTCACCCGAAGGATGAGAAAACATCCTGTCAGAGCTTTTTGGTACATAACAGCCATAGACATATACACTAGACCTCACCTTGGATACGGCAGTTCATTAGAACGAATGCGTCAATAGAGCCGCCATCTTGAAACAGGGAGCCCCTCCACTTTAATGCATCAGCGTCAATGTAGTAGACACAGGTCTAACGCAAATAAAATCACCATAAATCATCATGAATGCGATTTTTCTTGTTTTTTTGGTTTGTTCCAACGGTCAGACATGTATTTATCATTGATTCCAGAAAGAAAAAATTTTTTTTAATTTTTTTTTTTTTTAAAAAACATTCTTCCTAGTTCAGATTTCATCCGTGAACTTCATACGCTGCACAAAAGTCCGCCACCATCAATGAATTCGAAGTAAAGGCAGAGATAGCTGCATTACCTAGCTACTTCCTATGACAAGACCCCTGTTCCAAGATGGCGGCGGTTTTGACGCATGCTTAGAACCCCCAGGTGAGGTCTAGTGTATATGTCTATGCATAACAGCAACCATACAACACTTATTTGAAAAAAGCGAGGCGCTGGAGAGCACAATTCATTTTAATGCAAAATACAATCACAAGTTAGATGGTGTTGTTTTTAGCGGCCTGTTTTAATTGTAGTTTTAGTCTAATCTTTGCGTCAAGCTGTCATTTTAGTGTTCATTAGTTTTAGTAACGTTCATACTCTTCTTAATCTAGTCTAGTTTTAGTCGACAAAAACTGACGACATTTTAGTCTAGTTTTAGTGACCCGGCGCAACCGACTTCCTACACAAACGCATGCCTCATTCCTATTTTGCACCCGCACAAAGTGGGTTTTTCCCTCCACAGACGCACGTCGGTAAACTAGGAAATGAACTTGCGCTCCCTGGGCGGATCGGCGCTAAAAGGAGGCATGTTTCGGCGCAAACATTCCCCAGTGCTATTTTACACGTTTTATAAGCTCAAATGCTCGCCTTGCTCTGTTCTGTGATGCGCGTTCGTGACTCTCCTGTTCGAACTCGTTCATCAAAATGAACAAATCCTTTTTTCGTGTCATTTGGTTCATTAAGTGAACGAAATAAACGAGTTGACTCTGGAAAAGGTTTTGATGAACGAGTTCGAACAGGAGAGTCACGAACGCGCATCACAGAACAGAGCAAGGCGAGCATTTGAGCTTATAAAACTTAAACTTTGTTTTTTATTTATTAAATGAGCGATAGTTTCGCTTGATAAGACCCTTATTCATCGTCTGGAATCGTTTAAAGCCCTTTGAACAGTTTGCACTGAAACTGTCTTTTGGACCTTGAACCGTTTGGTTCCCATTGAAGTCCATTATCTGGAGAAAATCCTGGAATGTTTTCATCAAAAACCTTCATTTCTTTTCGACTGAAGAAAGAAAGACATGGACATCTTGGATGACATGGGGGTGAGTAAATTATCAACAAAAGTTTTTTTTTTTTTTTTTTAATTGAACTACTTCTTTAACAATGTCGGACACATAATTAATATGATAGGCCTTTTCTTTACTATGTTATCACACAGATTATAATGTGTTGCTAATGCTACACAAACCACATCACAGAACGTCAGTGGAGAAAGGCACATTCATCAAAACATCGTAATTCATCATACAACACCCGCTATATTGCTAAATCTACCCGATTTTTCATATCAACAAAATAATATACTGGGATAACCTGGCTTCTCTCGCGACTCTGCAGTTGATGTGGTAAAGCCCGCCGGCACGTTACAAGGTCGTTGGTGACATCAGAAACACCAGCGATTTAAACCGTGTTTTTGAGACTGTATTTGGTTCACTGCAGTTTTAAGCAGAAAACACTCAGCAATGCTGTCCACTTATGACCACATAGACACATAAACAACATTAAAGGATTAGTTCACTTTTGAAAAAACTTTTGCTGATAATTTACTCTCCCCCATGTCATCCAAGATGTCCATGTCTTTCTTTCCTCAATCGAAAAGAAATGAAGGTTTTTGATGAAAACATTCCAGGATTTTTCTCCATATAATGGACTTCAATGGGAACCGGATGGTTCAAGGTCCAAAAGACAGTTTCAGTGCAAACTTGTTCAAAGGGCTTTAAACGATTCCAGACGATGAATAAGGGTCTTATCATGCGGAACGATCGGTTATTTCAAAACTTATTCCAAAAATGTAACTTTTCTAAGGACAAATGCTAGCCTTGCTCTATTCTGTGTGGCGCATTTGTAACGTCACGTATTACGTAATTACGTTCAAAAGGTCACGGGCGACGTAGCCGGAAGTACAGAATCAAAATCGTCCGACATCGTTGTTTTTCCTATTAATTCCTTTTTTTGTAAACGGTGTTTGAGCTAGTTTGCACGTTCAACCTATGCGTTCAACTTGTAAACACTGACCGGCTACGTCGCCCGTGACCTTTTGAACGTAATTACGTATTACGTGACGTTGCAAACGCGCCTCACAGAATAGAGCAAGGCTAGCATTTGTCCTTAGAAAAGTTACATTTTTGGAATAAGCTTTGAAATAACCGATCGTTTCGCATGATAAGACCCTTATTCATCGTCTGGTGTCGTTTAAAGACATTTGAAGCTGCATCTGAAACTGTTATTAACTGTCTTTTGGACCTTGAACCATCCGGTTCCCATTGAAGTCCATTATATGGAGAAAAATCCTGGAATGTTTTCATCAAAAACCTAAATTTCTTTTCGACTGAAGAAAGAAAGACATGGACATCTTGGATGACATGGGGGTGAGTAAATTATCAGCAAAAGTTTTTTCAAAAGTGAACTAATCCTTTAAAAACCTGATTTTCACCACAGCGGGACTTAGACTTGAGGGGAATTTTGGCCTTTGATTGGGCATAATAATATTTAGTTTTGAGTGCTTAAGCTGTGATAAATTGGTTATTCATTAATGGGAGAATAACTTACATTAGGAATGAACACTTTTGCAACACACTGCACAAAAACATCAGACCAATAAGTCTAAAACACACACACAATAGCGACCAAAACTCTTTATTTCAAAATGAGCAGAATAAAAAGATAATTATTACTGTATCCTTTTTTTCATTTTGAACTGATGCAGATGACACAACAGAAAGGCAGTGAGAGAATGGGTTTGGAAGAGGTTCAAGCATGACATCCCGACACTAACAGGCCATGTGCAAGATGGTACATTCTTAAGTCAAGTAAAAACAAAGAGCAATTGAAATAAAACATATCATTGCTTGAAGATTGGCATTACTGTCCACTGTGCTTCAGCACATGGTTAAAAACACACACACACCATTTTCTTTTCTCACTATCAGTTGTCCAGCTCTTCATGGTGATTGTCCAATGGGCATCCGCCCAAATATCTCTTTTATGCTTGTACAAAATGTTACACGTACACTGGTCTTACACTAATGCAAAAAAAAAAAAAAGCTTCAATAACAAAACCAAATTGGCTTTTCGAGTAAATTAACAAGAAAAAAATGTTTTTTCACTTCCACAAGTCTTTAAGTTTAAAGCAGCAGTCCTCTTTCCTCTTTGTCGCCATCTCTGTTCGAAATCTGCAATTGCAGTTTATTGCGAAATTATCAACTTTACGTGAGTTGTGCCTCGGCACGGCATGGATGAACACAATGTTTGAGGAGAGTGTGTGTGTCAGTCACCGCGCCAGTGAGGATACAGATTATTCTTTTCGGAAGTATGACCAACATAATTTTCACCGAAAAATGTAATCGAACCAGTAAGAAACATCTGCTTCTGACATCGCAGTAAATCGCGCTGATTAAATCTAACAATCGCTTATAAGTTATCATTTCACGCGAAACCATGCAAATTATACTTTGTTCTCAAATTGTTAATGTCAACAATGTCAGCATTGCGTGACTACAACTGATCCTTCCGATATTATCCTTGTTTTCGCATGGGCCGAACTTCCGAAGTCCGAACCAAGTCTTTTGCGTTTTACAGCGGGTGAATCTGTCGTCACTGGTGATCGTCGTTTGAATCTTTCTGGATCCGCCATCAAATTGATACGTTTAAATATATCAAGTGCTGTAAGAAAAGGCTATAAATCTCCACCTCCAATATAGCCAACTTACCGAGACTCTTCTTTACGTGTGCAGATAATGACGCAAATACACGCTCGAATCTCCAGTACCACTGGAATTAAAACATTATTACAAGCTTACCACTTTGAATCGAGCTACGGCAAGCAGAGAGTTTTGAACACTGGCTGGTGGTTACGTACTGCAGCTTTAACTGAAGAGTGGTTTCCGAAACAACTGCACGGTTCAACAATTCTCCGCAACAAGATGTTATCTGTCCACTGTGCTTCAATATAAGGTTAAAAAAACACACCATGTTCTCACTATCAGTTGGTGATTGTCCAAGTGGGCATCCGCCCAATCATTCTTGTGCAGAATGTTACACGGGCACTGCTGGTGTAACATGAATGGAAAACAAAACAAAACAAGACTATAAGCTCCAGTAACAAAACTAAATTGACTCTTAAAAAATATACACTTTATTTTCAAGTCTTTAAGTTTAACTTGAGAGTGCTTTCCGAAACAACAGTTCTCTGCAACGAGACGTGTGTGTGTGTGTGTGTGTGTCAGGGCTCCGGCTGCACCTTCAGCAAGCTCTTCAGGTGCTCGGACATCTGCTCTCGGCTGCAGTCGTGCTGGAGGCGGCGCTCGCCCACCCAGTGCCGGGGCGGTTTGGGGAGGACGCTGGGCGAGGGCGGCTCGCTGAACTTGGCTCCGGCGTACGTCTGGAGCTCGGGGGCGCAGACGCTCGTCCTCCTCAGCGGGATCTTCTCCGAGCGCATGGAGATCTGAGTGTTGTCTGGCGCGTTCCTCTGCCTGCGTTTGTTCAGCTTCTCGTTGGTTTGCTCAAGCCTGTGGCTTCCTCGCTCATCACACTTGATGTTCGACTTCGGCTGCTGAAGACACACAAGAAACGGTTACACTTTATTTGGTTTTACAGAGTCCTTGTTACATATGTTACATGTACTTAGTAGGGGTGTAACGGTACACATATTCGTATTGGACTGTTTGCGTTTGGTATGGTTATCAGTACGCATTTTTAAACTGTGGGACCATTTTTCATGCCGACCAAAATTTCATTATTTCAAATGGCAAGCGCGCTCATAATGTAATGCTACGTTCACACCGGACGCGAATAGCGTGTCAAATTCGCGTCTACTGCATCTAGTTTGACGCTTGACCACTTTGTGTTAATTAAAAACTGACGCGGGTAAAATAAATCAAGAGATTCACCGCACCGTATTTGCTCTGGAGAGCAGAACAGCGGCGTGGGGATCATCGTCGTCGTATTTGTGTCCACTGGACCCTTCGGAGGCGAACCGTTTGGCGAGTTTCACCATTTGCTCGCTCCAGGAGCTGCGCTGGATGACGGCCGCTGTCAGCGGTACTTCCGCCTGTCCTGCGCCCAGTTTGATGACCTGTTGTCCCGCATCGGAGCGAGGATCACCCTCGCCCTCATCCACCTAATCTAGCTGTCATTTATTTTTGTTTTGATGATAAATAGAGCCAGCTTCCAAAAGTTATTAACCTGTCCTGTGTTTTTTTCTCTCTCACACGTCCAGACACGAACTTATGCACATATGTTGATTGTCTTTACATCATAATACTATTTCATATAATCTAGATATGGAATGAATAACATTCAATACAAAACGCAAATTCGCGTCAAACGTGTGAATGCACAAATGGCACTAACTAAATCATTCGCGCTTAACGCGCCAGACGATCAATCCGAGCCATTCGCGCGAACTTGCCGCGCAAATGAGGCGTATTCATCATTCGTCATCACGCGAATGATGACGGTTGTGTGTGTTTACTGTAGTAATACTCACTGTAGCCATGGGAGTTTGCCAGGAATAGTAGACTATAACGCTTTCAAGTAACATTACGTCGATTTTATTTTGACATTATGAATACAGCTGGTGCCTTCAAATGTTAATATAAAGTAAAATAAACCTTTGTTTATAACTACTACAATATCACAATTCATTTTGTCCAAGGAGTCTTTTGTTTTATATCCTTCTAATGGTGCGTGCGAATGATTTCAATCTTAAGTCAATGCAAAGATGCGTTACGTGCGTAAATTTCACTTCAAACTTTTGTTTTTACGCGCATAAGTTTCATTCTTGATGCGCGAATTAACACAAAGTGGTCAAACTAGTTGCGATAGACGCGAATTTGACGCGCTATTCGCGTCCGGTGTGAACGCACAGAAAGAAAAGTCAAGTATCGCTCCATCATTGCTCAAAGTAAAAAAAAATAATCATACTTTACGATGTTAGTTTTAATATAAATAAAATTTAAAAAAAATTACAAACCCAATTCCATAAAAGTTGGGACACTGTACAAATTGTGAATAAAAACAGAATGCAATGATGTGGAAGTTTCAAATTTCAATATTATATTTAGAATACAACATAGATGACATATCAAATGTTTAAACTGGGAAAATGCATAATTTTAAGGGAAAAATAAGTTGATTTTAAATTTCATGGCATCAACACATCTCAAAAAAGTTGGGACAAGGCCATTTTTACCACTGTGTGGCATCCCCTCTTCTTTTAATAACAGTCTGCAAACGTCTGGGGACTGAGGAGACAAGTTGCTCAAGTTTAGGAATAGGAATGTTGTCCCATTCTTGTCTAATAAAGGCTTCTAGCTGCTCAACTGTCTTAGGTCTTCTTTGTTGCATCTTCCTCTTTATGATGCGCCAAATGTTTTCTATGGGTGAAAGATCTGGACTGCAGGCTGGCCATTTCAGTACCCGGATCCTTCTTCTACGCAGCCATGATGTTGTAATTGATGCAGTATGTGGTTTGGCATTGTCTTGTTGGAAAATACAAGGTCTTCCCTGAAAGAGACGATGTCTGGATGGGAGCATATGTTGTTCTAGAACTTGGATATACCTTTCAGCATTGATGGTGCCTTTCCAGATGTGTAAGCTGACCATGCCACACACACTCATGCAACCCCATACCATCAGAGATGCAGGCTTCTGAACTGAGCGCTGATAACAACTTGGTTTGTCCTTGTCCCTTTTTAGTCCGGATGACATGGCGTCCCAGTTTTCCAAAAAGAACTTCAAATTTCGATTCGTCTGACCACAGAACAGTTTTCCACTTTGCTAGAGTCCACTTTAAATGAGCCTTGGCCCAGAGAAAACGCCTGCGCTTCTGGTTCCCGTTTAGATATGGCTTCTTTTTTGACCTATAGAGTTTTAGCCGGCAACGGTGAATGGCACGGTGGATTGTGTTCACTGACAATGTTTTCTGGAAGTATTCTTGAGCCCATGTTGCGATTTCCATTACAGTAGCATTCCTGTGTGTGATGCAGTGCCGTCTAAGGGCCCGAATATCACGGGCATTCAGTATGGTTTTCCGGCCTTGACCCTTATGCACAGAGATTGTTCCAGATTCTCTGAATCTTTGGATGATATTATGCACTGTTGATGATGATAACTTCAAACTCTTTGCAATTTTTCTCTGAGAAACTCCTTTCTGATATTGCTCCGCTATTTTTTGCCTCAGCATTGGGGGAATTGGTGATCCTCTGCCCATCTTGACTTCTGAGAGACACTGCCACTCTGAGAGGCTCTTTTTATACCCAATCATGTTGCCAATTGACCTAATAAGTTGCAAATTGGTCCTCCAGCTGTTCCTTATATGTACATTTAACTTTTCTGGCCTCTTATTGCTACCTGTCCCAACTTTTTTGGAATTTGTAGCTCTCATGAAATCCAAAAGGAGCCAATATTTGGCATGGCAATTCAAAATGTCTCACTTTCAACATTTGATATGTCATCTATGTTGTATTCTAAATATAATATTGAAATTTGAAACTTCCACATCATTGCATTCTGTTTTTATTCACAATTTGTACAGTGTCCCAACTTTTATGGAATTGGGTTTGTAAATCAAGGAAATGTTCCTGGCATTTCTTTTTGCTGTTTTGAAAATGTACTGAACCGTGACACAAGTGTATCATATCGAACCAAACTGTGAATTTTGTGAACCGTCACACCCCTAACCCTCAACCAAACCCCAATTCTACCCTAACCCTTAAGTGCCCGTAGTTGCTTTACTGTATATATCTCAGTACTTAAATATAAGGGGGGTTATTTTGATGGACATTCCGCATTCAAGACCTGGAAGTAAACACCCACTGGTGGGCTTTTTTGTGCTATTTTTATCTTCAGGGTTTAAATTTGTCTTTTTGTCAATGCCTTAGGATGTGTTGTTTTCTCACAGCTATAGACCTCATTTGGGCTTGACCCCATATTGAATTTAATGTGGAGGAAAACAAGGTTTTGAGGGATAGACTTGCATTCTTTGCGAAGGCAACACTGTATAAAGGGCCTCACAACTCCTGTTTTATAGAGTTTTTGCAAGTTGTTTTTTCAAACAATCAGTATCTTTATTGTATTTAGGCTCCTGTTTTTCATACAAATACTATAGAAACCAATTATTTTTGTCCAAAGGCCTTAATAATAATAAAAAAATAAATATATGACATCCAAAGTATATACGGAAGAACACAACCTGATCTCTTTTATTGAATCCAAAAGGTTTTATTTATATTTTTACTACATTTAAATGTATTTTAAAGATTTTCAAGGTCATTCGGTTTAAACGCCAGAAGAAAATGGTTGCAAAATTAATTATATCTCCCATTTTTTTCTTTTAACACTTTAAAAAACCTTTTTTGTCAAAGACCCAGTTAACATTTCACCATGGTATTGAGGTGCTATATACATGGTTTTAACTGTGGTTATCGTGATCTAAATGTACAATACTATGGAAGAATGGTCAAATTTAAATATTCTGACTGTTTGAGTATTTTGTTAAAATATAATAATGCTTATTTTTATAAAACTCAAGAAGTCAGAATATTTAACATCTGCATCCTAACTAGCTATATACTGTCAACTCAAGCTACTGCCAAGTGTGCATTTCTAATAGGGCTGCCTATTAAAATAAAAGTTTGTGTTTACATAATATATGTGGGTGCACTGTGTATAATTATTTTATATACAGTATAAACATGCTTGTATATATTTAAGAAATATTTTCATGTATATACTGTATATAGATTTATACAAATATTTTATATATAAATAATATTTTTTTCTTAGATATACATGCATGTCAGTGTATTTATTTAATTGTACACACCACACACACATATATTATGTAAACACAAACTAAATGGATCAAAAAAAATTGTTTATATATAGATATATTTTGTGGTGGGCCACAGTTCAGTGTTTTTGTTTTTTGTTTTTTTAGCCATATCGTCCAACTTTATATAGAAGGCAATGAATCAGACTCAAGGATGCAGGTGTAATAATAAAAAATAAATCTTATTTTTAACCCCCAGGTTTCCAGAGTTACAACCCAAAATGCAAATGGTCCTATTATAGTGTTGGACGGGTGTGTGTCTCTTTGCACCTGAGCAGATGCGTACATTTGGGACCATCTGATGATCCTGCATACATTTGATGGCAGAAAAGAAGATGATGATGATGATGATGAAGATGAGGAGGGGGAAAAGAAAGAATCAGTACAAACACACTTCTGTGATTGAACCCCCAATTACAGGTCATTTATTTAGTATGGGGTTCAATCACTCTTTTGATGCTGATATAGTGTCTGCCAGGATTTATCAAGACTTGTGGGACACACACATTATTCATTTATCAACCTATTAAAAAACGATTACACTGACTAAATATATACTATCAGCGTTTAGTCCAACATAAACATCACTGAACATGCGGAAGCGCCACGGCACATGCTCAGAAAGCCTGTTCTCACCACCAGGGCAGTAATAACATAGATATCCTATATGATGTCTATGAGTAATAAAGCATGTTACCTGTTGTTTATTCGTGGCTGGTTTAGACTGAGCTGGTTTGAGCTCTTCATGGGTGGTTAATGGAGATTTAAAGCTGCTTTTGTTGCTGTTTGCTGATGCTTTGTTGTGTTTACTATGAACGTTTCGACCTCTCTTCTTCAAGAGCGCTTGTTTTGATCTGCTTATCTTCATTGCTTTATTCTCCACGCTTGATTCGACACGATGTCCAAAAGCATCTCCCAGCATGATATCAGCTGCACTATACAGATAACTTTGAGTAAAATACGCCCAGATGTAAACAGAAACTGATGGTGCTGCAGAAGATGTTGTGGGATGTTTGGTCGTATCTTGAGGTCCGCAGAAGGTGGCGGCCAAGGAAGTTTTCTAAATCAAATATTTGAATCTCTTTCTTCGCTAATTCTATTAAAAGTATGCGTCGGTGCAAATGTGAAACCATCGCCGTTTCCTTTTCCTCCCCCGTAATGGCCACTCAAACACTTGCAGCGCATGCGCTCTCTGTTACGTCATAACGGTTTGAGAGCATTCGATTTCAAATTCAGATTTGAAGAGTTTTCATAAGTATGTGATATGCCATTCCTAGTGGCCTTATTCAATTTTTCTTTCAGGCAATATATCTTCTGAATCTCCATATATAATACCAATCAATTAAGTATTGATGGTGTAAAAATTATAGATAAAAAATTTAATAACTTTTAAATTCAAGAATTATGTAGAACTACATTATTGCCCAAATGTAAACCTTTTTGGAACTCTTTGTATAATCGATTGAATAGAAAGAGGTCTGGAGTCAATACTGTCTTACTAATAAAGTTACATATAAGATTATTCATTTGATTTATCCAGTGAGACAAGTAGTCTCAAGATTTTTTACAGATATGGAGACAACATGCATCTTTTGTAGCACAGAGGAAGAATCAATAAAACATTTATTCTTTGAATGTGTATTTACCCAGTTGTTTTGGATTAATGTTGAATATATTATATTTAAATTCACAAAATTAAAGATTTGTCTACAGTATCTGTTAAATATATTTTTTGTTATACAAAAAAAAAGAGTGTGGAACAAAATTTGGTGATTAACTTAATAATAATGTATGGAAACATAGACATCATATTCACAAACAGAAATCGACAAATAATAAACCTAACATTATATTAAAATAAAATTGATCTTAAACATTATATTGAAGCCCAAAAAGATGCAAGAAATAAAAAAGCGAAACGGATGTACACTATTTTTGAATCCCTTTCTTTTTGTAATTTTTTGTAATGATGTTTCCCCTGAATAGTTTATTTTTGTTTTGTTTTTTCTGTCTGTCTATTGTTTCTTTGATGCTATTATGAATGTAAAACTATGTGATCCTTTGTATGTGTATTTTATATATTGTTCTTGTTATGCAAAAAAAAAAAAAGCAATAAGCGATTAATTTAGGAATAAATAAGAGACAAAACAAAAGTATAAAACACATTCGCCTACGTGTTGACCTAAATCTAAATTTTAGGTGAGTGTTTTAATTTGTGGATGGATCATTTTTTTCTTCTTTTCTCATCTCAGCACTTTTGATGAATGGCTACGCTGTTTAATTTGGTCATTTCAACTGAATATCAACATTTGTAAAGTTCTGTCAGCTGAAACACTTAATTTTGTGTCTCTTGAAAATAGTAATATATGACATAATCTTGTTAAATATGACAGTTTTTTGTGTCTATTTATTCATGAGAAATTTGTAGACACATTTTTTTTTTTTTTTGGATTTTGTGTAGTAAAGTTGTAGCTTTTATTTGTGAAGTAAAAGTAGAAAATCAGACCATTGGGGTAAAATGGGCCACTCATATTTGGGACAGAAGGCCCCAAGTGTTATTATTTTTTATTATTTTTAAATGTAATAATCGTTGTAATCAATGGGGTTAGTATTCAGCACAATGAACATAAATAATTCATTAAATATGTGAAATCATTCAATTTGCATTTATAGCGTTGCTATTATTACATATCTTTAATTAAAATTTGTCAATTAAATATTCATATGGTCAGAGCATATTTTTACCTTTCAGATGAATCTGTTTAACTGGAACTGCATTGATTACTCAATTATTATCAACTTATTTGTGAAAATAAAATGTATAGAGTAGTTGATTTAGTATTTTACATTAATAGCACTTTAAATAAATATACTAATAAGAATTACATCCATCCATCCATCCACCTATCTATCTATCTATCTATCTATCTATCCACCTATCTATCTATCTATCTATCTATCTATCTATCTATCTATCTATCTATCTATCTATCTATCTATCTATCTATCTATCTATCTATCTATCTATCTATCTATCTATCTATCTATCTATCTATCTATCTATCTATCTATCTATCTATCTATCTATCTATCTATCTATCTATCTATCTATCTATCTATCGCCCCCTGCTGGCCGCCTGGAGTCACTGCTGTCGGTTGTAGATGTAAGTAACGCACAGAACTGCGGGACAGTGAGCGTGGGGAATATTACTGTTTACTTCTGAGCAGGGTTTAGGAAGCGCTCGCCTCATGGAGCTCATCTCATGAAAGTTAGCCTTTCTACCGCACGGAGCTCTTGATACAGCGGGTAAACGCCAACAGCACTTGGTTTGTGTGTGTGTGTCAAAGGCCCAGGTAGCAGCTCACAGAAGCTCCTCCAGCCCGCTCGACAGGCTTGAGCCCCGGGGCAGCTGAACGCGGAGTCCCGCTCGAGAGCATGGCTCAAACCGGAGCGCCTCCTCGGTGGAGGAACTGTCCCAGAAGAGGACAACCTGTGGCTGGTGAGCATATACCAGACTGTTGTCAACAAAGCTGCTCTGCTAATCCACACTCAGTCTCATTAATGCAATGATTCAGTTTCTTAGAGTTAGGCTATTGTGGATAGCATGAATGCACTCAATCACTGAACTGTGCGACTGCTGCTTCAGTGAAACCAGATTAAACTGATTTCAGTCTAACAGAAAGCTGCCGTTAGCCTGTGCTTGGCTAGCACTGCGTCGTTTGCCAAAATTAACCAATGATAACTTTGCCTAAATGAACTAATGATGACTTAATGTGCGTGTGTTTTCAAATGGGCGCATGCACGACGTCAAGATACATACGAGGGCCACTCTAAAGTTGTTTGTTGGGTCTGTTTTTTTAAATGGAGTGGCTAGCCAGATTAGCTCGCTACAAGCAGATCAACACAAGTTACGTCACTGGACGAGAGGCGGGAGCGGCGTGTTCGAATTCTACTATGGCGAGGGCTTGATTCATGAATATTAATCACGCAATTTTACGCTCGGCCTCCTGATTGGCTGAGAGCCAGGCGTCGGCAGGATTGTAACGAATCGCACAATGGCGATTTGAACTGACTCGGTTCCTAACCTATTTGGTCAGCTGAACACTTAAAAAAATAATAAATTGATGTATTCCCTGACATTTCATGCAGTGTTCTTACTTTCTAATCTAAGAACATTTTGGATAATGATTATGTTTTGGCATATAAGATCAGAGGAAAGTATTAAACTTGAAGGAATAGTTAACTAATTTTTCAACACCCTCATGTTTTTTCAAACCTGTACGAGTTTCCCTCTTCTGCTGAACACAAAAGCAGATATTTTGAAGAATATGGGTTATCAAACATTTGATGGACCCCATTGACTTCCATAGTGGGGGGAAAAACACACTATGGAAGTCAATGGGGTCCATCAACTGTTTGATAACTCATGTCGAGGTTTGAAACAACTTGAGGGTGAGTTAATGATGTCATTTACATTTTTAAGTGAACTATTCCTTTCAATGTGCTACATGTCATGAATAATATGTAATATTATGTATTAATACCATGGTATTACCCAAAATTGTATTTTGGTACCACAGAAATACTTTCTGTAAAGGTTTCACTGAACCAAGCCGTCATCTATGATGATTCATCTCCTCAGGTAAATTTCTGCCCATGAAAACCATGCTTGGACCTCGGTATGATGACAAAGTGCCCGAGGAGAACCGGTTTCATCCCAGCATGCTGTCCAACTATCTCAAAAGCTTGAAGGTATATATGGAGGATCCTCTGAAACGGATCTGTAATGCTCTTGTTCTGACTGAGCTGTGTTGATGTGATGCTCACCTGTCCGCAGGTGAAGATGGGTTTGCTGGTGGACCTGACCAACACCAGCCGCTTCTACGATCGAGCCGAGATCGAAAAAGAAGGAATCAAATACGTCAAACTTTCCTGTAAAGGGTATGTGAACCTCCGCATATGAATACTGTGTTTTTTGTCCCTTGCAACTGAAGATGTTTATATTTAAGAAATATTTGCATGTATATACTGTATTTATATAATTTAATAATACATTTTTTTTTTCTTAAATATATACATGCATGCCATGTGTGTGTATTTCTCAGTACACACACATATGTCATGTAAACACAAACTTTTATTTTGGACGCGATTGATCATTTCACTCACAGCCCTAATATATAAGTGAATAAATAACCAAAACAGGGCATCAAGTTAACATATTCAAATCACAAAAAAGTTATTGGGTTACAAACTGTAAACTTACACTAAGTCACACATTTGTCTTGTGTGTGTGATTTTGACTAAACTTATTTTTATGATTAAAATACGATACAAAACAACAGTGTTTTTAAACAGAAAGAATTAGAAGTTATAATATAATTCCATTGTATAGGGAATTAGCATGAAAGCGTGTGTGTGCTGCCTTTTCAATTAATCGACCTTCATGTGTGACTTTATTCTGCGTGAACATGATCCATGAAACCATGACGGTTTTAGTCACTCAGAGACGTCAGACCTGTTGCTGCTGTATGATGTCATTACTAATGGATCTGTGCCGTCCGAGCCTCATGCTAACATCATGTCATGTGTTTGCCTCACTCAGCCACGGTGAATGCCCCACAGCGGAGACTACAGAGATGTTCATTAGACTGTGTGAACACTTCATAGAGAAGACGCCCACCGAGCTCATCGGTAAGACCAGCCGGCTCAGCTTTGACACTTTTGCTTGATTTTGTTTTTACAAACCCTTATTCCAACGATTACACTGTGTGCTGTCTCGTCTCGGCACAACATGCAGTTTTTCTTCTGTCATCTATATGACTTTTATGCTGATTTCCAATTTTCCTCACTTGAGGAACAGACTGCCGTGCCTCTATTATGTTTTATCTGATATGCTCGTTCCTGCAGTGTGTAAAACTAAGTGAAGTTATTGCCTCCCGAAAGACAGACGTGAATCTGACCTGCCTGAAACGAGTCGTCAGTATTTCCTAGGGCTGGTGTCACAATAGCAGGGGTGTAGCCTTAACTTCAGAAGTGAGGGGGACAGAATGTCAAGTGTAATACCAAGTGTCAGGTTTTTGCTTAATAGGCTTGATATGCTATTTATTCTTATGAAAGGAAGGTGTCCAGTACTTTAGATTGCACATGCAGGGTTTTTCCTGGCTTAAAATGAGGCGGAGGTGG